TAAAAACCCACGATGTCTTTTATGAACAAAAATGTGATGGATAAAAAAAAAAAAAAAACGTTTTCGTCGGATATTCTTCGGTGCAAAAAGATGATTTTTTAACTTGCAAGCTAAATATCTAAAATTTTGCATCGCTAACCAATTTTAATTAGTTTGAATCCGAAAGACATTACATTATAAACCTTCTTTACCATGGTGAATTGGTAATAATTATGTACTTTCGAACTTATTGTTTGAAAAAAGAAAGTCTGTGGTGTAATTTACAACGCAAAAGAATATGTTTGACTCGCATTATTTATGTGTCTGTCCCAAATCAGGTGATTGTAATTTAGTGGTTGTCGTTCGCTGCTGTGTATTATATTTGTTGTTTTGTGCATAATTCAGGCTTTTGTTTTCTCGTTTGGAATGCTTTACATTTTGTTAAGTCTGGGCCTTTTATGGCTTGCTTATTGCAGTATGGGTTTTGCTTATTGACGAAGGCCGTACGATGACCTATTGACCTATTGTTGCTATAACATCTACGTTTTTCTATCGGATATTTTTACGTTGAATGCAAACGATATGAACCTACGAAATCTTATATAAAGGACTAGGGATGGAGTGATTTTTTTTTTATAAAACAATAAAATATACATAATTTAGTTTGAGTCAAGATGAAATGACAGCAAATTTCTACATAGATTATATTCTTATTCAAATGATACATACATTGTACCTCGAACCCTTAAATCGTCATTTCTAAGTAGACCCTACATTGTTTAAGTCGGTGTGACTTTATCCACCTGGGATATATGTCCACAAAACAAAACTTCGGGTACACGAGGAGACCTTCTCGATTTAAGACGGTTCACATTTTCTTTATTGTGAGCTAGAGCTAGTTTCGACCTTGGCGTCTTATTTTTAAAATTACTTCGTTGATGAACTTATCACTACAAAGTACCTGCAAAATCTTCGTTCCCGTGAAATCTAAGAGTTGTTTCAATTTCAAATTTTACCAAGGACTCTTCTGTGGAACTGTCTGACGGGCTTCAAAGTCGACAGGATAAGAAGTCAATGTATTAAGGTTAATTTACGTTCTGTGGTACAATGGGTTACTTTCTGGTTAAATACATCTTATCTTTGATGTGCCACATTAGCATCCCTATAAAGTAAGACAGTCGGTGCGTGACCCATGACATACGATATTTTATGCATTTCATTGGCAATTTTCTAGCAAAATCCAGACTATACTATATCAATTAACGCATCTTCGCTAGCCAAGGGTTACGATCCACTTCCCTTCTCTCCACCCTTGGCATATTAAGCCAACATTTGTGATAACAATGTTGCGCCATCTATCGGTAGATTAAAGTCACGCCCATTCCGAATACATTATTCTTGACCAATGGTAGCACTTGAACTCTTCAATTTGGAGGCAAAAACACGGTAGCGTCTAGATTCTACACACTTGGTAAAGCGGGAAACGAAAATATACGTTGACATTCATGCATTTGTGCAAGAAACATACACATAAACTTCTATTAGTTGATTAAAAACATTCAAGTTGTCACTAAATATAGTCGTATGTTTAGGGATGTAAAGACTTGTTGCACAATAAGCACGTGGCAATTGTTTACATACACTTTCTACATTTACACGTGATCATGTTATAGGCGCTCTTTGATTGGATGCAGCGAGTTTCGACTGCAACCAATGAAAATCATTACATGTAACTCCGAAATTCTATCTCAATCCGCCAAGGGTGGAGAGAAGGGAAGTGGATCGTAACCCTTGGCTAGCGAAGATGCAATTAACGTGTCTGAAGACGAATTTGTGTAAAATATTTTTGTTTGATTTTAATCTCTGAAAATTTAAATAATCTCAACTCTTGAACAGATCTTTTCGGGACGTCGGGTTGGGCCTATATTTTTGTGTGAATTTGGGATTTACATTTATTTGGACTCGGGAATCAATGATTATTATTTGGGATTCGGCATAAAATTCTTTATTTTTTTTTCGAGATTTCGGTATTCAGCTTTCGGTTTTTTTCCCGGAAATTCGGGATGACACCTTTCCTACCCCTCTCTCACTCTCTCCAGCAGGCAATGTTGAGGAAAAAAGGAAAAATCATCCTGTATGAGAATTTGAATTTATCAAAAATTTTCAATTCTTATAATATCACAAAACCTGCAGATTTTTTGTATTTCTTTGTGTGCAATGACTACAAAAAGGGCTTGTATACGACTTCCTAAACTTAATCTACAATTCATGTTCGTTACTCAACACTTTCAATACTGAAACAATTAGAGATATCAATATTTTTTTTTTATTTTTTCAAATATCGAATACTGGTTTCCAACTAAATGTCCAAATATATCTGGAATATTTTCCCTCATATTGACAGCTATCCGAAGTCAGTTCATAGTAGCCTTGGATCCTGGCCCACTGCTCGACGAAGTATTAGATTGGGTCAGGACGCCAGGCTAAGTTCATAGGACCTCAGTTTAATATAGGCGTGGCAATCCATCACTTTTATCCAATCAAATGTCCTTTATGATAAAGATTGGCGTGCAATTGTAGTCGAAACAATGTGATTTATATAATGACATCGTAATAGTTTTAGGACACAGTTACATCAACATTGAAAGGTAATGTACTTTATTGTGGAAGCTGTGGACTACTGATTCAAAATAAAAATGATTTCGACAAGTTGCTTTGTAACCACTGTCAAAATGTTGGGTGTAAAGATACCTTCAAAAATGTAAATTCTCAACATCAGGATGATTTACGGATAATTCGATTAGCCAACAAACAACAAATGCTGTTACGTATACGAAACCAAATCCTGGCAACTCTTTAAACCCTTCCTTTACGCTTGAAGAGTTATGACCCTTAATTATCTAAAATATGAATTTATATTTGTTTCAACATGATTTTGTTAGAGTCTAACAAAATGTCAGGAACTATAAAATTATTGTCAAATTCGATTCTGACTGCTTTGTCATCTATTGTACCATGAGAGTTATGTTCTTGATTATCTTCTCGGCAGAGTTTTTATTGACCCCAATAATAACTTAAGTACCCTTGAACAAAATCTTTTAAATTCTACCACAGTGTAGTGATGCAAACCTAGCAGATAAATTTGACACTTTACGAATCCAGAGAGCTATACCCTTTTAATTCCTTTTTTGGTTTCCAGATGATAATAAACTTTTTGGATTCAAACACAATTTTAAAGACCATAATATACAAATCAAATTAAATTTTGACAGAAGACAATCTCTGTTCAGGAGTTATGTGTTTCTGTGATAACTAGATAATTCTATGTATCTACGATGTTACCTCCTATACAGTTCTAGGAATGCCATTGGTTAAAAGCGACCGCGTGGAGACAATGTATATTTAATATGGGGTTAGTAGGCGTGGTTTATTTTAATATACGGTTAGTAGTGGTGTTACGTCCCTTTATAAAAACAACACGGCGTTGATGAAAAATCTGAAAGTTTCTACTTGACAGCAGATAAAGAAATTGATGATGAACGATTGAAATAAATGCAGAAAACACTTTGAAAGCTAACAAGTTGTTATTGTTGGTATTTGTTTTTGTATAGACCAATGGAAGTAGGTTTTTTATATTAAGATTTGATCACCTTGATAGTCCACTAGACTAAATGCGACATGTTAAGTTAGTCGGTAAGATAAAATCGTTACATATGGAATTTACTGACCCCATTTATATCGTATTTGTTCACTAGCACAATGTGTAACTAATAATACATTACTAGGAAGAAAATCTTTAGACAACCTGTTTATGAACAACAAAAGGGCCATTTAACCATTGCAAATGCCTGTTTAGGGAACACACAATGCATGCCTTAAAAGATTGTAATTGTAATATCATGTCTCAGAATGCTTTGTACTGTTTGTCAATTCTTCTATGTTTTGACAGTTTTCAGACGTTGGTTATTTACAGAAATGTCCCACAGAAACTTTAATTCCACCTTTTTTATTTTTAGTCACTTGGTCCTTTCGACAACATATAAAAACTCTTTTTGAAAAATATTAGTGTCTCAGATAAGGGCAGTTCGTAGAGTCTATAAACAACATCTCTATTGGTACTAGCTGTATTATCAAATAGGCCGTTGCCGTTTTGTTTACGAACGTCAGTGACGTCAATTAAATCGGCAATAATCATGTTAAAAATCAAGAGGTTCACGCACTTCAAGGTTATTCACCGGTTTGGTACATATTTAATTCTGAATGGTCATTCCTTGCATTTGAGTGTAAATTTTACTAAATAGTTCATGGCACGTGATTATGTAATACCCAATAGAATAAGTCATTATATATATTGTATGCCATTTCTTATCAAAACTCCTTCTCAGCATATATTAAAATAGATCGGTAAAATAAATCGCAAACTTTGTTTACCTTACACCTTACTTTATTCGAAACATAAAACCAATTTTATTCACTTATGCAGGTGAAGAAAATGAATTCAATAAATGAATGTCATCAATAAGGAATATTTCGTTGTTTATTTTTAACGATTCCCTCAGATGTGAAGGGTATATGAAGCGTATACTTTTATTCACACATACCAAAACGATTTTTAGTTACAGTATGAGAAATGACAGTGCGCTTTTTGTTGGGCACGTATAACATTTAAGCGATACACGCACTTCGAGGCATTTAGGTTTCATGTTTTGTAAACCAATAGTCTTAGCTATTGGTTGAAGTGAGCTGATTATATTTCAAATGGAAAATTGATAAATGCCATTATTAAAAAATAATAGTTTACATATAAACTCTTTTTTAACGTTAGAAACCTAATAATCTTAATAAAAAAGTTAAAAGGTATAATGAGTTGATAGATTAATGTGCTAATTGATTACAATTGTTGATTTCAAATTTTATAATTATCAAAGTTAATAACATAAATTCGAAACCGACAATATAGGATATCATTATAAGCTAAAAAACCCTAGAAAAATGATTCGACGTCATTTCATTTTTTTCAGTGAAACCAGTAATAACCCCTTTTTCTCCTGATACAGTCAGTACAGAAGAAACAAAAGTTTTTGCTATATCATGTCAGGCTACAGGAAGTCGTCCTGCTGCTTATATATACTGGTTACTTGGACCACAAAGAACTAATATTACAACAAACTCTACATCCCAATCAAACAAAGAATCATCAACAGATACATATAATGTGACATCTTATCTAAAATATAGAGTGGACAGGAAATATAATGAACAAACACTAATATGTATAGCTGTTAATGTTGCTGGATCCATGGAAACATCTCTCACATTAGATGTCAAATGTAAGTTAACTTCACCACTTGTATGAAGTAAGTTATGTAAATGATACGTCATCAGTGATAGAATGACAGTCATTTCTACTGTAGATAAGGAAAATGATGGTAAGAAGAAAAGAAAAAAAACCTTTTACCTAATAAAACGTTTCAAGGCAAATACTGTGAAATGAAGGGAATTACATTCCGCATTTTGCCCTTTGATCTTTATAAAAAGTTGTCTCATAAGCAATCATACCATATCTACTTATTTCATTTCAAAGTTTCAGATCAACCTAAATAGCTTATCAAATAGAAGTAAATTGCAAATGTTCATAAATGCATTTGGAATTGATGTTCCGAATGGTTAGGTTTTCCTTGAAATATATTAAATATAAGATAAGGAGATGTGGTATTAATGTAACAAGGTCCAAAAGACGTTGATCACATCAACTATAAGTCATGCATTGCACGGTCTTCAACAATGAGCAAATCCCATACCGTATAGTCAGCTATAAAAGGTCCCGAACTGACAAAAAGTGGAACAATTTAAACAAAAAAAAACAATAGATAACAACCAACTACAGCCTGACTCCTGACATGCACAGACAAAAATGTGGCTGGGTTTAACGTGTTTTGAGCACTAAACCCTCCCCATAATCTGGGACAGTAGTGCAACAACCAGATTAAGAACAAACAGTAAAAATCAGTTGGAACTGCCTTGACTCATCAGATTGATACAAAAACACTACTAACATAAAAACAAAACACATTAAGGACCGATACTCGCAGTTACCGAAAGCTAGTTCAAAGCCAATAACAACCAAAAAAAAATTCTCCATGACTAAAATATCATTCAGTACAGATCCAACTGATGTAGTATAAAGACGTCAAAATATCGTTTAGTGTTAATATAATGATATCCGTCACAGAGTAATGTCCTGTGAATGTCTGAAATGTGTCATCATAACATAGTGATCGAAGATTGTGGATATATAAAGAATCTGTCAGTCTATAAGGGGTGGGGTATAATTTTGCCAGTTTAAGTAGAAATGACTCTACCTAATAATGTTTTCAATCGAAAAAAAAGGGAAGTTATTGTAAAGATAACGCAGCTGTCAATTTAGGTCTTGACGACCGAGACATTTATTCACATGGCTTACTTACAATCCGTTCATGAAAATTGTATTTTATAAGACCAATGTATCTAGCTAGCTATTAAGCATCATTTAATGTACTTGTAGGCCGCTTGTCAACTTACAATTATCTTAGCTAGTTGTCAGTGGGAAAACGCAAAAAATTTTTACCTAAATATTTCCTTGAACTAGACATTTTCAGAGGTTGAAGACTACTCGCCATAGATAACACCTCAGGAAAATTTTATTTTGAAGTTATGCATTTTGATATCCAAAAATAAAGTCTTTCTGCCAGGGATTTTTTTGAAAATTAAAGGACATGTTAGTTAGCAGTGTGTCTGACTTATTGTTTAGGACATTTTACGAAGAATATCATGATTTTATTTGAACAATTAGTGAACGAAGATAAAAAATACCAGTAATAAATACACTTAAGGTGGATGGGGGTCTTAAATAAAATCCATAGAATTTTTTAATAATTTGTCAAAATGTAGTTTTTATCATGCTTTTTTCCAAAATATAATAAAAAGTATGGGTCACCGGACTATTTTCACGCTACAGGTTGTGCAAAATTGTCAGATTTTGTATAGATTATGCATGAAAAATCCAATTTTGTGTGATAAAAAGAAGATAGCTCCTATAACATGCTTTCGGATAAGAAAAAGAAAAAAATGGGGTCACCGGACTTGTTTTCTAGATTAATTGTTATCTGCTACTTCAAAATCCAAGATGGAGGAAGACACCCCAGCCACCTTAACAGTTTCACAATTTGGTATTTCACTTGAACCATGTATACTATTTCTTATTGTAACACACAGTGATCTATAGTTGTTAACCTCTACGTCATTTGGTCATTTTAATTGAAAAAGTGACAACCCCCCCCCCCCCAAAAAAAAACAAAAAAACAAAAAAACAAAACTGAAAACAATACCCTATAAATTTCATGCGTCCGATGCGCGTTTCTTAATCAGGACAAATGATCACCTAAAAGCCACACACAACTAAAACAGTACTCTGAATATCTATGAAGAGAATATTACTTAGCACATCTATAACTTACTAACAGGAAAACCATAGGCAAATTAATGTTCAATGTCGTCAAAATATATATTTATCTTTCAGCAAAAGCTTTCTTAATTCAAATATATTTGTTTCATACATTTAAAGTAAACACCAACTTCATTATTACTATGTTTTGTCAGAGTAGGCCTTATTTCGAAGTGTTCTTTATGCTCATTGGTTGAATGGGTGGAGGGACACCTCCAATGTAATTTTCGTTTTAATACTACTAATGTTTGAGCCAATTGTAATTATAACTATTTCGACAATTATACTTTTGTAAATCAAAGTAATGAAACTAAATCTAAAACTGCAACATGCCAATAATCTGTTACTTGCAACTTACGTATTCGGATTTGGTTTTTTACTTTGACCAGGCACAAATATCATAATAATATTTAGTTTATTATACGGTTTTAAAGTTTTTTCTTGTATCAATGAATTATGTAATTATACAAGGAACAATGCTCCATGCTGTTGAAACAAATCAAGAAAACAAGTTTTTAATTGTTCAGTAGTTGTCGTTTGTTGATGTGGTTCATAAGTGTTTCTCGTTTCTCGTTTTTTATATAGATTAGACCGTTGGTTTTCCCGTTTGAATGGTTTTACACTAGTAATTTTTGGGGCCCTGTATAGCTTGCTGTTCGGTGTGAGCCAAGGCTCCGTGTTGAAGACCGTACTTTGACCTATAATCGTTTACTTTTTTAAATTTTGACTTGGATGGAGAGTTGTCTCATTGGCACTCATACCACATCTTCTTATATCTATTCCATAACTTTTATACTTTTTTATTTATCTGTGTATATATATTTTCTTCCCCTTTTTTTGTATCCGACTTTTTATAAATAAAAATCCCTTAACTCATACATTCCCACCAAATGCTTGATGCCTGCCTGTATCATTTCCTTAAAATGTTTTCACGTTTTTTGAGAATTGTTCCTTTTCAACATAAATTTGACTACATACAATGTTTAACGCAGAACTGCGAAAAGGCTATCTTTTTGCAGATTCCGGTATTTATGGCAACCGTATAAGTTGTTAAATTAGCATAAAGCTTGATATAAGTAAATAGTGATGTCAAAAACTGCCCAGGCTCTTGATCACATTTATTATTTGATTGTCAGTGATTTAAAGTTGCCTGACAAACAAATATTTTGGTTTTCACTCATTTGTATCATTTTCACTTGAATTGATGAAAAGTGATGTCGTTTTATAAAAAAAATCACGACACAAATATTTCGAATAGCGATTGATCAGTGACTGTTAATCTCTGTACTCAAAGTTTTTCTTATTTATATACATTATTCCATTATTCAGATAACAGAATATTCAAGGGCTGAAAACTTGAAAAATAAGAAATTTTTCGTCCTCAATAGGTTTTCAAAAACCCGGGTTTTATGAGTATTGCCCAGCCTAGTTGGAAATACTGGGAAAACCCGAGTTCTACTGGTAATACTGGCCAATACTGGGTAAAATGAAATACTGGCCTGAATTTAAAAGAGGATTCAGTGATTAATCACAAAAATAGGCCAACATTAAAGATATTTATAAAAAAACATAGTATTCTAATTTATAAGTTCACTTGTTTGAGACTCTTAATATAAAGTGAATAAATCTGAGAAAGTATTGTTCCAGCAACTCTTAAGACTAGTGTTCATGAAGACACATAAGACAAATGTGTAAAGCTTTTATCAATAACAATCCTAAAAAACCTATTAAAGCTAATTTCCTAATGCTTGTAGATTAAGAGTTTGTTTCGCTTGAATTCTTTGTTTGTATCAACGTTTGCTCAAGCATTGTAATAAAGATTGCAAACAATATAGATAGGCGGAGTTAAACGGGAAAACATTATACTTAAATTTGTTTGGATGCTATCCTGGAGATTAGAAACACCCGATTGTACATGTAAACATTACAGGACAAATTTTATTCACACATATTTAATAAGCTGCTTTTATTACATTTCATAAATCACTCATTCTAATTATTTGTAGTTAATTCACCGGCATATTCGGAACCTTGTTTTTTTTCTTGTTTAAAAAGTCAAAACATAAATGATTATTTGCTTGCTTTTATAATCCTACCAATAATAAATGCGCCAAATATAATATTTTAGATAAATAATCGTTTGTGGACCAACCTTGAGAAGGAAATAATTTTGATCTTTTGAAAAAAAAATTCCTACACAAATTTGTATTTAGTATTGCATGGCAGTCTCGTACAACAATAACGTTCTCATGCGTATTTATGCTGAAATTTGCATTTTTATAGCTATTTTGCACAATTTTATAAATCATTTAAATCATCGCCTAAAATATTGCTTGACAAATTTTAGATAAGAACGGTTGCAATATTGGCCGTATGAAAACTACCTGAATTCTTTCTTTGGTCAGTATACTTAAAAACAATACATTTGATAATTATATTACCCCGATTGTAGGAAAGCTCCACTAAGCTATAAAAGAGGGCCTGGATGGGGGTCCTTTATTTCTAGTCTTTAATTGTTAGACAATTTTTCTCTATTCTTTATTTATCTTGCCAATTATTCTCTATTCATTATATTTTAGCACCCTATAATTCTCTATTCTTTATTATTTTTGCCTATTTTTCTCAATTGTTTGTTTTATTTCCCCTGTATTCTGCACTTTTTGCCCAATCTTCTTTATTCTTTAAACCCCATCGAGACCATCATACAAGTCGGTTTGAATTGCATAACTTACTCATGCCATGGATTGGCCAAAAACCAAGTCACATTTATCAATGGAGGGTCAACAAAGGATTGCCTGTTTAAACCCTATTAAATAAGTATACAATCAAGCTATAGTAATTTCTCATTTAAATGATTATTTATGTTATATTTAAAATCCAGCTTATTAAATATATCAATATATATGTGTGAATTATATTTGTCAGGTAATGTTTACATGTGCAATTGGGTGTTCCTAACCTCAAGGAAAACATCCAATCAAATTTAAGTATAATGTATACAGGTTTAAATTCCCTATATTGTTTGCAGATGTCAATCTTCATTACAATGCTTGAGCAAATTTTTATACAAACAAAGCAAGCAAGCCAACCAAAGTCTTAATCTACAAGCATTAGGAAATTAGCTATAATTCGACATTATGTCTAGATTGGTACCGCAGTCAACATTGTGTTATAATCTTAATCACTATCAAAACAAATTACTATTTCAACAAAGAAAAACAAAATGGCATACAGACACTCTATAGACATAAGCAAAAATGAAAGACAAGAACACAAAAGTTCTTATTGATACACGTTTAGTGTGCAAACGGTTTCTTCAATCGAAGTTACCCGTTTCAGGTTGCAAAGTGAGTCATCGTAAGCATGGGCTTGGCCAACAACATGCCGCTCAATAAAATATAATAAATAAATAATTTATATGTAATAATTGAAGAGTAAGTCTACCAAAGAGTTACCTATTGTCTGACAAGGGCTGGGTCAGAGCTCAACATGCCACCAATAGCAAAGTATTTCGAAGTAGCACATTGTCCCTCGTTATGCCTCGAGGTCTTGTCAATGCTCTCTTTCTGAAAGTCTCGCTTTGCTATTAAATTCACATCATTTTGGGCTACATTCTTTACTTTTCGAGTTATATATGATTTTGTTGATGTGTTAGCTGAAATGACTCGCCTTCACTGATATTCAACAAACATGGTTGAAGTTATTTGTGGTCACGGTAGTACATCTACACTCTACAACATAGAAAACTATAAAACTAAGCACCGCGATTAAAAACCGAGAGTAGCATAGAAAAGATCGTGTATCCATCCGTTATTCATTACTTCCATAAAATAAGAAAACTATTTATATTAGAAAACCTAGTCCTTAACAGTTTCGTTTCCTTTTTCATGTGTTACACAGGGAATATATCGTAGCTTTACACAATAGTGTGAACAGGAAACATTCGTTCGAAACCACATGCATAGGTAGCCAATGCCATATTTGGCAGGTATATAAGATAGCGTTTAGCTTCCAAAGCTCTTAATTTATCATTTGAGCTGTCCTTCCAATTGTTCTGATTGCAATCCCACTGATAAGTTTAATGAAGTGAAACGCGTCCGGCGATTTTAGAATTCTAATCGTTGTATTTAAGATGATTTTTATACACACCCAGATATCAATATTGTTTCATTCATCGAATTCGAACTAAATGTTAACAAACATTCTCTGTTTTGACTTAAAAAAATGACATTGAATTTTTATGTTTCAATCATACCAATGAAGGGCATGTTGACAGGTTTATCGACTGAAATCGACAGAATGTAAGTGTTACAGTCAAAATCGCGAATTGTTTGACCGAAAGACGAGTCTGTGTTCTAACTCATGCATGACAGAAGCTAATTCTTATTTATTTTTTAAACAGATGCACCTGGTGTTACAGTAGAGAATGAAACTTTCCCCCTGACTCAGTTATCCAGACAGATTCAAAGTACGTTAGATGGTAATCCTATCGTGAACACTTGTATCTGGCACCATAGATCTCAGTATGGTGAGCATATTAGATATTTTAGTGACAATAACCAGATATTGACATTACCTACAGTATCTGAAGATGAACGGTATCAGGACACTGGTGAATATGTTTGTACAGCAGCTGACAATGGTGTTATAGGAATTAATGGACAACTGAAACAGACAGGATCTGGATATGTAATTAGTAATGGTAAGGTATATTTTCCTCAGATTACTGCAACTAATGACGTTTGATAATTACTTTCATTTTCCTTTTGAATATAATTGGCTTAATAATTCATTCCTAGATAAAAAATAATAAAACAAAATTTAATCAGTTTATACACACTCTAAAATGACGTCTTTGGTATCATGTATGATGAATGTCAAATGCATGATAACTGGAGTTCAAGTTACAACAAATGGGCTTCGGTGTGAGCCAATGCTCCGTGTTGAAGGCCATACTTTGACCTATAATTGTTTACTTTTTACACATTGTGACTTGGATGGATAGTTGTCTCATTGGCACTCATACCACATCTTCTTATTTATATTTGTAACAGATTTTAGTAAAGATTTGATGATTTAAGACAAAGTTATGAACGTGTTTCCTCGATTTTATGTTCTTTCTATACCAATGTTCACCTATTTTATGAATTATTTTATCAATTTTCAGTTATAGTACAACTAGCTAAAATTGTATGCAAAATTTTACCACAATCAGTGACACAGCCCAATTACTGTTCCTTGACCTTTAGCTAGGGTTTATAAAGACATGTCCAACATATGTCCTTATTGATCGTTTTGGGGAATAAACAGCTTACATGTACTGAAAACAATATTTTTCAAAAGGGGAGTTGTGAAAAGATAGTTATGTTTAGAGGGTGATACTTGAAATTTGTATATGTTAAAAGGGAGAAAAAGTTGTTACTTTATAAGTGCTTGTTTATGTGCTGTACAAAAAAATAAAAAAATAAAAAGAAATGCAGTAGTTTAAGAGAAGCACTTTTAATCATGCAATGTGTAAATAGTTCAGTATTTACTAAATGTATATACTTTTATCCCTTTTACGTTTAGTTAATAGGTGTCTTACTAATTTATTCATCATTGTTTAATATCACTTTACCTTCAATTTTCACATTTCAATGTTATCTATTTACACATGTTACATGACTGACATGTAATATTAATTAAATAAGTTTCTATGGTATAGCTCCACCAGTGGTAACAGCTGACACGAAGGACACTTCTAAACAGTATGGGAAGATTGGTAAAAACACTAAATTATATGTCAATGTGTATAGTATTCCAAAGTATTCCAGTATACGTTGGTATAGAGGTAAAACGGATCTAGTTCGAAACAGATATGTCACCACCGAAGAGTTTGTCATAGTTAAAGATGGGTTTCATGGTGTAGAAGTACAGCTGGATGGTTACAGAGTTACGCTGATCATAATTGATCTGCAGGAGATAGATTTCAGCATTTATACTTTACGTCTTTATTATGATACTAGTGGTCAAAATGTACAACATGAAGTGATTCTTGAATCTGCTTGTAAGTTTTGATGACTCTCACTGTCGTATTTGTTTTAACAATTTTCTTTTCAAAATGAGCATGCCTTTCAATGTAAATGAACTTCATAATACTTACGAAATTTTGAAATCTGCGTTTATTGTATGAAACGACATTCTTGAAATTATAATGTTAAAGAAATTATTGAACCGATACACACATATTTACTGAATTAAATCCTTTTGCACGATTTGTTTTACATCTATTACGAATCCATAACTTATAATCGTCAAAGAAAAAAAATATTGCCGAAGTTTACCGATCGTCACGACCTTGATACACATAATCATGTAGCCCTTGCAAAAATAAGTCAGGTAATAGCAGGGATGGGGTAATCGTAATCTGTAATCGAAATCAATTGTTATTGATTACATTTTTTTCACGTGATCGACAGTAATCTTTAATCGACAACATTTCGATTAGATATAATCGTAATTTAATCGATTACAGCAAAAATTATGATGTTATCATCGATTACTTTTCGATTACATTTCGATTACTTTAGTAAATAAAAGCAACAGTAGTATACTGCTATTCGAAATTCATAAATCGATTGAGAAAAGAACAAATCCGGGTTACAAACTTAAACTGATGGAAAAACATCAAATATAAGAGGAGAACAACGACACAGCAGAAACTCAACACTAAAATGCAACACACAGAGAAACGAACTATAATATAACAATGGCCATTTTCCTGACTTGATACAGGACATTATAAGAAAAAAATGGTGGGTTGAACCTGGTTTTGTGGCTAGCCAAACCTCCCGCTTTTATGGCAATGTTAAATATAACATTAAAATGACAAGATTACATGACAGGACTACAATACAAATAAATGGGAGAACATACAGGACAGAGACACACACAAATAATAGGTATCAAAAGGTACCAGGCTTATAATTTAATACGTCAGACGCGCGTTTCGTCTACATAAGACCCATCAGTGACGCTCAGTTCAAAAAAATTCGAAAGCCAAAACAAGTACAAAGTTAAAGTAAAAGGTGCATTGAGGACCAAAAGTTCCAAAAAGTTATGTTGGATAAGAAAATCCTTAGTATTTAGAATAATTCATACTTTTGCAAACAGTAGATTTATAAAAATGACTATATAATAGATATACATCTTAACACCGATGTGGTGACTAACTACAGAATAAAAACGAATACATAAAACAACCTAAATCAGCACACAAAAAAGGCACAGCAGAACAACGTATTATATGTTAGCCGAAGAAATCGACGCACAATGTGATGTCACATTTAAATTTCTATAAATTTCCAAAAAATAGGATAGAGTTCAAGATGAGCTTTGGAATTCTGATATAACGTGTATTAATAACAGTGAAAATTACAGTACTTATTAATATAAAATTGTGATAGTAATTTGATTATTAATTGTATTATCAAGCTATGTCTGTATTTCTCCTAAATCAAACTGTAAACCAAATACATCGTATAAATTTAGTTGACCCAAACTAAAATCTTATAAATGAACTGGGTGATGAATTATCTTTACCGTAACACACGAATAGAACAGACAAAAAAAAGATTTATAACTACAAACGATAAGACATTTGACAAAATCCGATGAGAATAACAAATATAACATCAAAACTAAATACATGGATTTTGGATAGAAAAATACTGTGACACGTCTTATAGCAATGCGAATTCACACTCAGCAAAACAGTCAAAATAGTTTGATGAAATAGAACATAGTTTAAATAAAAATAGACGACTGCATGCATGAATTCATCGGTTTATAGTACAGATGAAATATAATGTATAAATATATGACTTGAGAGTTCTGTCAAATGGCTTATCAGATCTGTTGTCTCAAGCTGCATAATGTTTAACCAGATTTCCTAACAAAATTGACTGTATTTCCAGCTTTCAATTACTGTAAAACTTTAAAAGCTTTTATATTTAAAATAGGAAAATAGATTAAAAATTATAAAATGGTTTAATTTCTATACTACATTGAAGTAAAAAGCTTATTTGTATTAAAATTCCTACATATCAAAAAGCATAATGTTCCATTAGAGTTGGAGTTTTAGCTTAGAATATATAAACCTTTGATTCATCATAATTTTATGATATAAGGAATAAGAAAGGATACAATATCCTATTGTCAATGAACCAAAGCAATGAAATTTTTGTTCAGTAACAGTAACGTGTAGACCATATTGACGTTAAACATATATATTGTTTATAATTTTGAAAAGAGAATAAAGAATTGTCAATTGCATTGTTGCCTTTACTAATCAGAGACTGATTATGTAAAAAATCAGAAAAGACTTCTCGTTAATTAGATGCAGATTTTGTTTTGATTTCAATTACATAAATGTCTAATTAACTGTGAGATTTACATATTATATTGCCCTAGGTTATAAATTTTACTCAGTTGGCAGTGGTATCACCTGTAATTTTAAATTTGAAATTTTCATCTTTAAAATTAGCGGAATTAATTATTACTTTTTTATATTTTTAATTTCAACTTCCAACATTGCGATGTACTATTTTCACATATATCTGTTCATATTGAGTATTAATAAACAGCAAAACTTAGTCAGTATGAGAGTAAACACTTTGGAGCAAATGGTCTAAAATATGAAGAAGTAATTGATGCAATGGTCCATGTCATTGCAAGAACTTTATCAACACTCATTCATGTTGAAATCAAATTTTCTTTTTTTTTTAATATTTCGGATCCTCGGTAAGTTTCCATCCACTAAACAACTGTCAAAATAACATTTGGAAAATAGGCTTAAAATGGTGTTTTTGTAATGTTCTAACGACTATAAATATGTTGAGCAACATAATTTTGTTTAACTTTCTTTGTTATTTTTTTTTATAATTTTGTATCATGTAATTGACAGTAATCGAAAAGTAATGTAATTACTTTTGATAGATAAAGTGATTACATACAAAAGTCATAGTTATCGATAATTATCCGATAACACAAAAATTCTTCATGTTACAGTGACTTTTTCAAGTGCCAGAGTAATGCTATATAACAATCAAACAATAGGTTACAAATATAGCAAATCCTCATCGATTACTTATCAATTTCAGCTGCACCAGAAGCTCCATCAAATTTCACTGTAGTCGATGTTGGAGAAACAAGTATCACAATTCAGTGGATTCCTGGATATGCTGGCGGACAAATACAAACGTTTTACATTGAATATCGTATAGTTGGAAGAAGTGTATGGATGTCTCATGAAATCGTAACCAGTAACAAGTTAGATTTTCCAAAGGTTTACACATTGTTCGGGCTTCAAGATAAAACATCATACGAACTAAAGATGTATGCAGAAAATATATTTAACCAGAGCCAACGTACAGATATTCAGACACAAACAACTTCAATGAAAGGTATGAGACAAGTTATAGGCTATATGACATATAATCCTCATAGTCAGCACATTGTTATGCTCTGCAAAAAGTGTTTTAGGAGCATTCAGGCGTCCTCTCGTCAGTTCTTTCGTCCATTAGTCGTTCCGTCTTTTGTCTGTACATCTGAAACAAATGCTTTTTAGATAAAATCAAGAATTTTCCTTGCTAATTTATAAATAATAACAAAAAGGGTAGAAGATATATTGAATGGAAAGAAGCCTATTGATTATAGGGTTGAAAGGTCAAAGTTCAAGGTCATTGTTTCTAAAGATATAAAATATTTTAACAAACACTCTCACTTTACGGTGATTTTTGGAGTTTTATTTTACTTATTTTGAAATTTTACCGTAAGAAGATATAGGTTAGGAAAATAAGCTTGTTGATTTTGTGGTCAATATGGCAAAGTTCAAGGTCACTGTTAATAAAACCATAGTTTTTGTTGGGAACCGTTGGTTACTGTATGATAACTTGATTTTTCAAATAAAACAAATATATTTACGGAAGATATAAAAAGGTCACTATCAATAGATTATTGATGAAAAAATATGGAATGAAATTTGTCGTATCTGCATGATAACTTGAGGTACACTTAGATATTAATAAAACGTAAACAAAGTGGTTTCGTAGATGATTATGAAGTGGAAAGGCCGTAAAATATCCCAACAAAAAAGACGTTCCATTCTTAGAATTCTTTAATAATTGCGGGAAAGTAATAGCAAGAGTAGAGACATGTAAAGATATAAAGGCGTGTGCAGAACTGTTAAAGCCAAGACCCAACCAGTATTCTTAGACCAACAATAAATCAACAAAACCAAAAAATATCAAGAACTTGTTAGATTAGCTTAAACTAAATTATACAGCTGCTTTTTCATTGTGCAAAGATTATACACAAACAATGAAAGTACGAAAAGCAAGATTAACAACAGACAGGTCCAACCTTCATATGAATGATTCCCTCATAGATGATGGATATGACGATGAAGATGATGGTAATTTGTTTGCAACGAGTTGGAAGCCGAAGAATGTCCTTTTTTTAAAAAAAAAAACGGGGGATTTAAAGGCTGAAGATACCAATTAAACAATCAAAAGTCGAAGAGATACTAATAAAACCATGACAAAAAAAAAGAAAAACGACGAAAAGACAAACAGCAATCTACAAAACACTACTGTAACATAGAAAACAAAAAACCGAGCAACACAAAAACCTTCAAGAACCAGTGAGCTTCTAGGGGCTCCTTCAGGACAAGCAGGTACTGTTCTACATGGACTGATATAATGTACTGCACTTAGTCTGCCATTGGTTGCAATAAGTGAAACAAGGCTGTTCATATATTATAGACAGTGATTATTTTGTCCTTTCCAGTTATTTTGACTTGATTTTAAATTCAGCTATGATCATATATTTCATTCAACAGGTATTAACATGTAGGTTTAACTCTTAAGTGTGAACAATAACTGGTTTAAAAGTATTCGAATCCAATAGGAAACATTAAATGAACTGTTTCTATGAAAAGTACATACATATACATAATAGTATTTGTTTTATTGTAAGTAAAATTAAATGTTATTTAACAAAAAGTTTCCATATTGCTTCTTGTTGTAAAGTTTGGTAATATTGTCATTTTGATTTCGCTGTTGAATGGTGTCCAGTCAATGTGTCTTTGAAAATATGTTTCACGTAGTAGAAATAAGCAACTTCAATGATCAAATGTATGTTTCCATCATTTTTTTTCATTTTAACAGGAATGGAGATGATATTTGTAATGATTTTAACACCCTGCGTGCAGTGTAAAATATCAAATATACATAATACCTACATGCGTTTAAATGTACAAAGAGTTTGACACGAAAGTATTATTGACAATTAAATAGGTTTTAAGACATTTCTTAGTACTAAGTAGATTCGATTTGCATACCAAAAAAAGTAATCAGATCTGTAAATAAATCGACATCTTGACTGAGTGTGGATTGGCATGGCGGGTGATCCACGTATATCAGAAAACGCTAACCTTACCGACGCTACCTGTCTTGTATCTTTTGGAATTCATGGAATTCCCTCAGATTTTGATTTGTTACTTTGTTAGTATCGTTTAAATGGATTAGGCGATTTTAACACTGGCAAACTATCAAGCAACTCTCATAGAAATGTCAATTCTGATATTCAGTGTAGGTCAAATACAACTGACGTTGCACGTTCAATTATGTACTCATACAGGTGGTCCACATTTTTTGATGGAATTATCGCACCTGAGATTCCGTACTACGTGTTTACTGATGTAATTGGTAGAGCGATTTTTTTCAAATAAAATAAGTAAAGCACTAGTCATGCATGGTCGATTTGTGGTCACCGCAAATGCAGACAACAAGGATAAAATTAAATCGAAGCAATCAAACAAAAATATTATGTTGACATTCAAGGGAATTTTTGCAAGTTTCCTATGTTTCCTGCTTTATAGATGTACCGCATTGCTAGTTCATAAACTTATGTCCAGGAATGTGTGTGACTCTCCTGTATAATTTTGGGTTTATTATTCTTAACAGAAGTAAGCACATCATTAGACGCAATTATTGGTGGCGTATCAGGTGTAGTGGTAACATTACTCCTTGTGTTCACTGTTATCATTGTCGTAAATAGACGGAGAAAAGGTAAAATAAGTAATGCAATTAAAAGCGCCATTATTTGTTCTCTTTTTATACATTTTTATGTAGTAAAATGCTTTCAGTTCATAAATTTTTGATTTGTTCTGATAGTGTATTTTTCAGAAACAGTTGTCAAATTTTTTTTTCAAAAGACTCATCATTAACGCTCAAATCCAAAATATTTTAAGGGCGAAATAAAGTACGAAAGTGACGAGCATTGATCTATCAGCAACAATAGTGTCACGTGACACAGAACATTTAGTAAAATTACAGTGGAGACTCACATCGATTTTCATTTTAATACTCCACCGTCATGATTGAAACGTAATGCTACAAAACATTCCCATCAAATTAACATTCCTTTCTTTTAATTTAATCGCCAGAAGATTGTAGTGGAATGATCCAGTGCCCTAATTGATTCAGAAGAAACTAAATACATGAAGTATGATGGTCTGAATTTCAATTTAATAAAGAATCTCATTAAATAAAGTCCTCGGTATAAATATTCAGGCAATAAAGCCTTGGATACGAAAATGTGACTTTATTTTCAACATGAAGAAGGGTTTTTCTTGTGCAACATGGCTATCTCCAGTCAACACCAAAATCCAACAAAATCAGTTAAAATGCGCTAACATCACAAAAGGTAAGAACAAAATTTAAGAAATTCTAGTGAACATTTTTTCGAATAACTTTTATGTATATAAGTATCTGAAAATTATATGTCTGAAAACAAATAGTCTTTATTTCTAAGTAACAAGTTTTCAACATTATTCTTTAAGTCAATAAATCAGAGTGATTTTATTTTTTGAATTTAAAATCATAATTAAGAATTGGCTAGTTCTGCAGCCTATAAAAATTATAAATAATGCAAAATGTGAAGTAAATTTAAACTTTTAGTTAATTCACAAAATGGAAACTGTTACCCTTGATGTTTCTGTGTCTGTAGAGGTAATTATATACACAATACTTTATACTTTGACTTTAACGAGCAACTGAAAAATCATGTGTATTTTAGTAAAAGTAGCAACTGCTAATTTTCTAACTTAATATTGTAACTTAAACACTCCAAATTATAAACATTATTTTTTTAACGGACAATCGGCATTCAAAAGGAAACCATCTATATTTCCCTTAATTTAAGGTAGACTTCATACAGAAGTTTGATAAAAAAGAATCAGGGAAAACAACTAGGATTATCCTTAAACTTCACGCTATATAGATTAAGCCTGTCATTAATAATTGAAACTGTAGGAGTCAGTCATGTCATCTTTCATTTTCTTTACTATTTTTAATGAAACAAGTGAAATAACAAAAATACCGAACTCCAAGAAAAATTCAAAACGGAAAGTCCTTTATCAAATGGCAATATCAAAAGCTCAAACACATCAAACGAATGGAAAACAGTTTTATAGCTAGCTAAATCTATTGTGTCCAAAAGCTTGGGGTGGGGCAAAACTTTGAAAGGTGAGGTCAATTTCATCCTTATCTCCAGCTCCTACACCAGTGTGTTGATAACGTAAAATGAAGTGATTTGAAGAAATCAAAACGGTGTCACTGTCAAATTGTAACAGATAGTTTTCTGTTAATTAGTAGTGCAGTTATGAGTATAAAATTGTAAGAGAAACCTAAATGTTTGATCATTCAATTCATCTCTGCTAAAATCAATATTTTAAAGTACTTAAAATTAATATACAATGGAGTGAAGTTGCTTATTTTACTTAGAACGCTGCCAAAGCCCGCTAAAAATTACATGCTGGTGAAAATTTTAAATATTGCATTAATAGAAAAAGTTAAATCTTCATAATTACATTGCTTAGGCGTTACTATTCTAGAAATCAGTCAGCAGTCAATAATCAGTCATCGATCAGTCAAGTTAAAATCGTCAATCCGTCAAATTATTAGAAGAATAGTATTGACTGTTTGGACGGAACGGACGGATTGGTTTCATTGACGTATTGACCATTACATGAACTACGTCACGTTGACTTCTTATAAATTACGAAATCGTAGTTTCGTTTCGTTTGAATAAGATGGAGTCGCAAAAAAATGTAAATGGTTTAGAACAGAAAACGAAATTGATTTGTTATTCAACTAAAAAAAACTTTCGTTTGTTAGAAGAGAAGTAAAACATGCATATTAAATTGAAATTTGAATGTTATTAAAGGATTCCCATTGTCGTAAATATAAAGCCGTTTAAAAAAATCAAAAACAAAACGTTATGCATCGCGATTGCAGAAATCTACTATAATTAAAAAAATGCTCTAGAAAAATCAATCAATTAAACATTGCCATTATCAGTGAATGATTTTTAATGAAATAAAGAAATATGGACACTTTAAAAATAGGGAACAAAATATATAGGATTTTCTCATATATTAATCACATTTTTAGGTAAACAACCTCTCCCAAAGTAAAAAAAAAATTATATCCAATGGCGGTTAATGATTTTGATTAAAATGACAAAAATAATTGCAATGCTTTCAACTTATAAACTTACACAAATAAAAAAATCAATTTTTGTAAAAGCATGCCAAGTTCAAAATCTTAAATGTAGATTGATCTCGTGGAATTTTTATCGCCGCTTAATTTAATTGTTTCCACCTTTGATGTGCCCCGGCTGTTGTTGTTGATAGAGCTTGACAGCCATGATCGTTTACATACTAATGTTTTCCACCTCATGAATAGATTAACTTAGACGTATTTGGCAAATAAAGACAACAGTAGTTTACCGCTGTTCGAAATTCATAAATCGATTGAGAAAAAATCAAATCCGGGTTACAAACTAAAACTGAGGGAAACACATAAAAAACAAGAGGAGAACTACGACACAACAGAAACACAACATTAAAATGTAACACACAGAGAAACGAACTATAATATAACAATGGCCGTTTTCCTGACGTGGTACAGGACATTTTAAGAAAAAAATGGTGGGTTGAACCTGGTTTTGTGGCTAGCCAAACCTCCCGCTTTTATGGCAATGTTAAATATAACATTAAAATGACAACATTACATGACAGGACTACAATACAAATAAATGGTAGAACATATAGGACAGAGAAACATACGAATAATAGCTAACAAAAGGTACCAGGTTTAGAATTTAATACGCAAGACGCGCGTTTCGTCCACACAAGACTAACCAGTGACGCTCAGATAAAAAAAGTTCGAAAACCAAAACAAGTACAAAGTTGAAGAGCATTGAGGACCAAAAGTTCCAAAAAGTTGTGCCAAATACGGCTAAGGTTTTTTGTCTGGGATAAGAACATCCTTAGTATTTAGAATAATTCATACTTTTGCAAACAGTAAATTTATAAAAAATGACTATATAATAGATATACATGATAACACCGAAGTGGTGACTAACTACAGAATAAAAACGGATACATAAAACAACATAAACCAGCACATAAAAATCACAGCCGAGTTAGCCAAAGAGATCAACGCACAAAGTGACGTCACATTTTAATTTTTAAAAATTTCCCAAAAAAAAGGATAGAATTAGGATAGAATTCAAGATTAGGTTTGCAATACTCATATAACATTTATTAATAACAATGAAAATTACAATACTAATTAGTATAAAATTGATGTAGTAATTAGATAATTAATTGTATTATCTAGCTATGTCGGTGTTTCTTCTAAATCAAACCGTAAACCAAATATATCGTATAAATTTAGTTGACCCAAACTTAAATCTAATAAATGAACTGGGTGATTTATTATCTTTATCATAACACACAAATACAACAGAAAAAAAAATAAGATTTACAACTACAAACGATAAGACATTTGACAAATCCGATGAGAATAGCAAATATAACATCAAAACTAAATACATGAATTTTGGATAGAAAAGTACCGTGACACGTCTTATAGCAATGCGAATTCACACTCCGCAAAACAGTCACAATCGGGAATAAGTCACGTTCGGTAATTAAAAGATCAGACGACGTAATGTCAAACCACAATCTAACACGTGGTTTAAATGTCCTTAGTTAGTTTGAAACCTTTCGGAATGCTCTTCAACTTTGTAACTTTTTTGGCCATTTAACTTTTGTGTTTGAGTGTCACTGATGTGTCTTTTGCAGACAAAATTCGCGTCTGCCGTACAAAATTATAAGCCTGGTATCCTTGATGAGTTGTTTAACAAGGAGTTGTTTTCCAACTGTACGGACAAACAAGTTTTCGAATTAGTTTACTAGGGAAAAACTTATTATTGAGTGTCATGACAACAGGGTTTGTTACCACAGTGGCGCAAACGGTTTCACTTTACAAATACACCGATTTGAAGTACCACCTGCATATATGCAACAAACGTATTGCATTAAAAGACAAAAATAAAAAATAAAAAAAATAATAGATTTTGCAAATGAAACACAGTACCAATTTAAAAGCTGTTTAAAGAATCTTACAATTATCATGTTATTTTAGTTTTCATTTGCTATTCTTTCATTCACTAGTGCATATTCATTTGCAGGAAAGAAACAAAATAAAAAGTAAGACAAACATTTTTGTTTCAGATATTAAAACAATACTATAACACTCGGCTTCTTGATTGAATTCACAAAATTCTATCACGGCTTGAATTAATCATTTCGTGTAATATTTAACTTCTTGATTACTATCATAAAGATGAACAAAATCATATTTTAAACTTAAAACACAAATTTGTGTATACATGTATTAAAAAGTTTTAAATTGTGTGCCTGTCATGACAAATTGAAGAGATGTTTTATGCTATTTTAATCCTCTTATATGAGAACACTATCTTACAACATGATAAATGAATCGATTTGTTCGATATGAATTAATACTGAAACATTGTTTTTATGAATTGTTTGCTTAAACTGAAATTCAATATGAAATATAGATAATCAGCTAAGTAATTTATAATTGAACAAAAACATATATCACAAGTATCATTCTGTCTTTAGTTTTCTATGTTGTGTTTTGTGTATTATTGTTCGTCTTTTCGTCGCTTTTGCAAAGCTCTGATTTATTTGTCAAATTTTGGATATACTTTGTTCCTGTTTGGTATAGTTAGCTCTTCAACGGTTGTATTAGAATTTTTGATTTTTAAATATTTTGGCCCCGAGCATTATTTACATATTTGCCTTCAATGTAAGTGATTGCGATTCAAACACCGTTTCTTGCAGTTAGAGAACTAAATATTCAAGACACAGTTTATAAGTTTCATTAAGCAAAAAAAGCTGCACGGTTTTCGTGTTTCCCGACATACCGTAATACTCCTACAACTGTTTATAATATAACAATCGAAAATAGTGCCGAAATGTCCTAATGCATATTTATTCATCATGTTCAAATAGATTTCTTTGTAAAAGTAATTGTGAAATTATTTATTTGTAAATACGATAACAAACATATAACAATATCAAAATCATGTATTACAAAATGAAAACAACATTTTACGATACTGATTGTAACCCCACACTGTCTTTTGCTTAAAAGATTTTGAAAGTCTAGACTTGAAAATACACACACGAACTATCATTGAAAAATAAATACGAGGAGAAGCAAATAAAACCAAAAAATATTGACAGAAGACCACGTGTTTTATAAACCTTACAATTGATACATATCAACTAAGAACAACTCATGGCTTCTGATATATAGCACCATTCGCGAAATAAAATTCATATATGCTCATCAATCGAATTTTTTAATCTATTATGATATTACTTATAATCGTAGATTATCGGAGTTGTCACTTAGTGTGCATTTCTTTAATTACAAACCCTTTCGTTGCTGTTCTAAATTGTCTTTGATCGAAAAACATTCAAAAGAACGAATTCAAAATTATTTTTTATGAACTTTAACACTTTACTTATGTCATAATCAGAAAAGTCTGACTTTAGTTGAGATTTCATACAATATTGACATAGTGTTTGTTGTATATGTTTAGTGTTTAGACATTACAAAAATGTAAGTCTTTGGTACGCCTTTATTTCGAACTAAATTTCTTGACAGAAAAGAAGCTCTGTTTAGCACTTCAGTGTTGACACGAATTATCGTTGATATGGTCATAATTATAAATTAACTGTTTGAATTTTTAATTTTTTGAAATATTAAGGATTTACACTCCAGAGATAGATTGCCTCGAGCTGTATTTGGCAACACCGTTTAGAAGTTTCGGTCATTAATGCCCTGCAACTCCGTACTTTATTTGTCCTTTTTAACTTTTTAATTGGAGCATCACTGATCAGCCTTTTGCAGACGAAACGCGCGTCTGGCGTCCACAATTCTAAGCCTGGTATATTTTATAAGTCTATTAAAAAATGAATTATTTTTTTCAAAGAAACTGAAAATTATGAAAACAGTAGTTTCAAGGACGCGCAAATTGGTGATTGGTACGAAGAAGTCAAAAGTTCGTGTGGTAAATCAGTTGTTCTATTTGTAACTAACAAAGTAAATAAATGAAAATTACAAATAAGTAATGACATAAAGTTCCCATTGTATCAGGCTATGTCGTCACTGAACATCACCACATTAAGGTTATAAAATACCTTTTCCCTCAGGCAAAGCTGACCTAAGATGTATTTTGCAATTGCTTTTGTTTTCTATGTGATCATATAGCTCCTGATGTGTTTAAGAATTTATCATTCCTTGTAGTGTTCCTAATGACGTTAAATAATGAAAAATCACACGTAATTTTAGTGCTACTTGTATTACTTGAATTTTCATTCAAAATACAACATAATGAAAACGTTCTCAGTGTAGAATTAAAGTATCTTCCTGAAATAAAAAAATAGAAACAGTTTGTCTTTAATCGAGGAAGTATTGTTTCAGATATGCAACATTATCAGTAAGTATATACTAATTTCTACGGCATTTAAATTGCAGTAACATTATGTTTTTTTCACTTTTTCATATTTATACATACAATTTCATAATGGACTAATATTGTCCAAACTACAACATATAAAGTGTATATAATATTGAATAATAAACACTTACAACATATTATCTTCTTGAAAGTGTTATGAGGGTACCACATTATTTGCAAATTATTTAAAAGAACGTTGCAACAACTCTTTGATTGTCAATGCAAAATGCTCATCTGTATTTTACATGCATTTCCCAACTGTGGTACTCCAAGTTTCCAACAAAAACATTCTTGTCGATTTCGTTTTTCGAACAAAATTAATTGGCCTGAATATGAATTATATACTTTCCACTTGATATTAAAGCAGCAACAATTTATCAATATTTTGGATTTTATACTCTTTGTTTTTATATTTCACATCTTAAAGTAAGAAAATATTACTGTTGAGGAATGGGAAGTTACAACTTGAAAAATGAAATCATCACATTTGTCCTAGATTCTATTTTCAAGTCGTCCATCTATGTCAATATCGGAGGAAAGGTCAAGATATGAGATTATTTAACACGCATTGACATGTGTGTTACATTGAGTACACAACAATATATCTGATAGTGAAACTAGTGAACTTTTCAAGATGCTATTTCATTTTTATATTCGAAAAGGTTATGTAAGAATGCTGCTTCATATAAGTACAGCATTGTTTTTTCTTATATATCATAGTTAAGATCGAAGAATAGTTTGATATAGGATATTTGAGATATAAGATAGAGTGATATGTTTTCAGCGTTTAAATGATTAATGTGATAACTTGAAACATTGGTTTTCTGGTTTCCCATCTATAAATGCGGGATGAATTGATACGAGTTGTTTGCGTCCATACGATCAGTCAATAATATCAATGTTTAGGTACAAGATTAATTAAGAATTATTTTGTTTTCCTTAATTTATAGTTTTAAAATGTTTTTTCTAGCGAAATTATATTGAATTCATATTGGCCAGTATGTGAATTTATTTTTATTATACAGGATTAAGTAAACCTTATTTTGACTTTTCACATTTACTGTATCCTTTGTTGCATGTCTTATAAAACACGTTAAAAATGAAAAAAAAATCAACTTGCATTCACCTACATGTTAACATGGTTAAGTCACACGTGTTGTAGAAGTAGTAAAACCTATGAATCACTTGGTACCAAATACGCTGTAGATGTTTATGATGATTTACAGAATCCTAAAGGTATGCGTAATAAATAGTCATTGTAGAAATGTACAGGTTTATATCTCGTTGATTTATACTAAACGAAGTATATCAACCTTTATGTGTGTGGCAGAACACAAAAAATACAAAAAAATTCAAAAACAACTACTTACAAAGTAAAAGAGAGCCAAATCAAACGAAAGAGACATTCAAACTCATAATTCGTATAAACTCATCCTGCTCCACATGTGGCATTCGTAATAACAATAACTATGCCAATTTTAGGATTGTGGAATTGCCGTATATCGTGAGGCATCTATACGTCTTCAATTCAATACTTACCAAGTGTTAATTCAGATGAGGATGAATATTGTTTTTAAATAAAAACGATTACAAAAAGTGTATGAATGGCATTTTTAGGAAATAATGAATATATCAAAGGAAACGCATGATTCTCATGTACTGGTTTTCATTTTATTTTAAATTACGAACTAACAGATCATACCTAGAACACGCCATATTGAAATTGCAGTTGAGAGTTGTGAAGGAATCATTGTCATTTTCAGATGAAGAACGTCGATAAAAGTGCTGAATCTTTCCCTTTTTGTTCTTCATGTGCTTTATATGCATTAATATAGAATCTGTTTGGAAAAAAATCCACAAATTATATAACTAATTGTATTATGTTCATAACAGAGAATACTTAATTGAAAAACGCAAAAATAAATTTTTTATATATTGTAGACTTGACATCGTCGAAATCGTAAGTAGTTTTTGGGATATTCAATGTATGTGTAACATTGCTATTTTCTTCTGAATAAAATACAATAGCACAAATAAGATAAGGCGGTATTCATACAGTATAGAAATTCGGTCTCTTGGTATTATTTTTCGATTCAAAGTTAACTTTAGTTTGAGATTGATCGCATAATTTTTAAAAATAGTAAATAAAAGTAAAAAGATATCATAAAGTACAGACAAACTACTTGCTTATCATGGGGACTAAAAGATTACTACATGTTGTAGAGACCCAATGGTCCGAATATAAATCGGGATGCTAAATAACTTGCAGACGACAAGTGTATCTGGATTACCCGTGGATACAAGTTCGAAATGCAAAAATACAAAATACCAAAGATATTTTTTTTACTGCCTAAACAGAATAACCAAAACAATTTAAAAATCTATGAAAATCCTGCGAAATTTCATGAATGATTTTGGCGCATAGACTTGATGGCTAAACGTGACGTCATACAAATGAGAACTCATAAACTGAAGGTTACTACGTTACTTCTTCGAAACACGTTACTATTTCGATTCAAGTTTGGATAAAATCGCATCAAAACGGCGTTTTTGAGGTCGGCATTGTTTTATCTTCGATGATATTATAATAATCGAATATTTTTTGGTTCAAGCAATTCCAAATGGCGGGTCACTCCTTAGTTCCAACATGTCAAATGTGGATTTGATCGTTACTTTTAGCCAATGATAAGAAATTTTTACATAAAAATTGCATTAGAAATCATATTCACAGGCTTTTATCAAACTTCCACCTCAAATATAAATGTAAAAGTAATGCAACTTATTCTTGGAATAATCGAAGGTATCATTTCATTTTAATCGTCTGTTTAAGTATATAACAATACCCTCCCTTTACCTGGTACAGTGTTGTAACAGCTCAATATAAAAATAAAACTGTAGAATTCAGTTGGGATGGGCTTGACTCATCTGAATGTCAAAACGCACACAAATCAAGTAACTAAATACCGATACCGATTTCGGTGCGCACGAAAATAGTTCCCGCAAAATAACCGTCATTAGGATACACTAGATAAAACGTTAGGAATGGCAACTACACAAATTATTTTAAAAGCATTACACAAGAAATAGGACCTTAGAAAACAGTCAAAAGTCGTTTGGCGTACATTGTTTGAAGGAGTTAAAACTTGGGATTTAGTACAATTACTACAATGGCAAAAATATGTGTTTTATTTAATACTCCATATTTCAGCTGTTAAAATTAGTTCCCCTTTATTTGTTGTAGTTCGTTTGGACATTCTGAAAGCTGGTGATAAATCAAACGTTTCTGTAGAGTTAGAAAATAAAACAGGTAAATACATAATTGAGCAGAAAAACTCGAACTATGTTAGATTATCAAGACTCGTTATTGTTTCAAATTTAACGTCTCTGAAATTGATATACAGAAAAGTGAGATATTTGTGGTTGAAATGAACGACTGGGTTGTTTGAAAAAAGTATACTTTCAATATAACAATTTAAGCATTTCTATTTTTTCAAATACATCAAAAACTTAGATGGTATCACAAATCAAGATTAAAAAAGACATTACTTTATTGAGTGAAATTATAAATAAGTGAAATATAAGAGATTCATAAAATATTTCTGTACTAAAAACGATTTTGGCATAACAAATTATAAGCCTGGTATCTTTGATGATTTTTTTTTAGGGTAAAATCCTATGAACAAAGGTCTTTACAGTTAAATTTGAAGTTTAAATTAATATTACGATATGTAGCAGCATTTATATACCAACATGAAGTCATTCCAAAGCAAATTTGTCATCAGTATACTTATTTCTCATAAAGTTTTATATGCAAAACATTTTTATTTAAATTGTTTATAATCCGTTTCGTTTAACGAGATACAGATTACCTATTTTAGGTTAGGTTTAAGTTGCATCGAATACACAATGTCTAGATAGTGCCACAACTCTTACAATTAAAGTAATGTTTGTCACAACTCTTAACATAGTCCCTATTACATACCATTTGCACCCATTCAACATAACCTCATTTTCAAGAACAAATGTTACGTATTTTTCACAGTCAATCAACCGTAAGATGTCGAATCGCTTTGAAATTCTATGTGATATGAGGACAGACCAGTGATCAATTTGTATAGATATCATTATACTGAAATGAAATAAATCAGTATTACCTAAGTATATTGTAAAACTTCTTTAGAATAAAAAAAAATTCAAAGTAGATAAGGCAGAATATTGCAAATTTTTAAATGTTTGAATCATTTTAGAGTACCGATGACTATAAATTGCATTCATCCGGCATCGCAATATTAATGGCAGAAATGCAAGATATTAGATATAAACCAAACATCTCCTTACTTGAACAATGGTACATCATTGCCTATATATTGACTGTCGTTCAAAAAAGTCCATGGTCTATATGATACTAATGTTCATTAAATTATTTGTTTTTCAGACCAAACGGAAAATGTTTATGTCAATGAAGTATTCTGAACTAAATATAACAACATGATTTTGTATAAAAACAAAGCCATTTAATAAAGGTACACTTCTATAACGTTACAACGATATTCATTTAATGCTAGGGGCATCGTCATGCAGCAGTCTTCTCATATCCCGGTATGGATTTTAGTCATTGTTGAAAGCGTACGTTGACCTATACTGGTAGCTAACATCTACGTCATTTGGTTTCTGGTGGATTGTTGTTTCATCATATAAGTATAAGAAAATGCAAGACTAACAATCGGTTTACATTCATACGTGGATTTGAGATACAAGGTTTCAAATTGTTTGTTCAATAACTAAGGGCTGATAAATATTTGTTTGGTACACAACGAGAGGCCGGAGACACCAAATGATTAATCAAACTCAAAAGTCGATGACAAACTGACAACACCAGTCAAATAAAAGAAAACTACCAAAAGATAAACATGAACAAACAACACTATAAACACACAACAAAGAAAATTAAAGATTATGAGCAACACTGCACCACCGAAAATAACGGTGATAATAACAGGTGCTCCGGACGAGTGAGGAGATTTGCTCCAAATGAGGTATCTGTCGTCTTGCTAGTATAAGTACAATCTCGGTGATAAGTGTAATTCGGAAATAACTTGATCTCTATTTATGAATGGAAGCTCAATACTAAAATTTACGATGAAAGAGATGATTTTTCATTTCCTATTGTTAATCATCCGTTTTTAGATACAAATCAAAACATGTCATTTTTTTGGAATTAATATTGATTGCCTCATAGGGTCTTTGCACAAAAAATAAACACATTTATTCTAAAAACCAGTAGTTGTCATGATACTTGATGATATTCTTCTCGTATAATTTATGATGACATGCTACTAAACCCCTAAAGTGAGAGATAGTGGTTGATGAAGACATAAACTTGCAATCAGTTTGATAAAAGTCTGGAGCTGGCATGTCAGTAAATTCTAGTAGTCCGTTGTTAAATTATGTTTATCATTTTACTTAGTTTCTTCTGTAACCTATTTTAACATCGGACTCGGACTACTTTTAAACTGACTTTTACTGTCCGTATTGCTGTGTTTTTTTAATTCCACATAAGAAAACAAAACATGTTTAATCCGGCTGCATTTTTTTGCGCCTGCGTTGAAGACCTATTGGTTGCTCTTTGGTCGGGCAGTTGTTATTTTTACACATTCACCATTTTCAGTCTCATTTCTACCTTTAAGATTTTTAATTCTAATTTGTATTTCTAAACTCACTGCCTTAATCCATTTAGAAAGAGTAACTGCGTCTTTCTTTTCGCGTTTACCCTGGCATAATTCGCGACTGAATCCATCACTATAATGACTAAACAACACGAAACCCGACAAAGACAAACCTTTGGCTTGAAATAGGCTAGCATATCCAGCTCCATATATGGCATCGTCATGTTGCTCATATGACTACAATTCCGTGATAAGTCTCATTTGCCGATGTCAGATTCGGGGAAACGTCTATACATATGTTACAGCTGCTGGTACCTCAACAAATATTAACTAGTAAAAATACCGATGATCTTTTAATTTTAAGTCCTCCTGATTGAGACACAAATTCGATATATATGTATGTTTTCGTCGCATGACATCCACTGAGAATTTAGCAAAAGTACCATTTTAAAAATCTGACATAGTTCACTTAGCACGAAGAAATGTTTTGAACATTCTAATTAAGTTCAGTATACATCGCTAAATTTTGAAAATCTTACTCATGTTTTTTCTGTAGTGTACTCAAATAACGAGATCGCAACTACTTGATTAGAGTTCAAAACATAAAGATGTCTTCTAAAATTTCAGATTTTAGGATATCATTTATGAGTTTTCTTCAAACTTAGGTAATGTCTCTTGAATACTGTATAGTTCGCTTTTCCTGCACACTCTTTCCTCTCTTTGTTAAGGTGTATATAAAAAAGAAGATGTGGTATGATTGCCAATGAGACAACTCTCCACAAGAGACCAAATGACACAGAAATTAACAACTATAGGTCACCGTGCGGCCTTCAACAATGAGCAAAGCTCATACCGCACAGTCAGCTATAAAAGGCCCCGAAATGACAATGTAAAACAATTTCAACGAGAAAAACTAACGGCCTAATTTATGTACAAAAAATGAACGAAAAAACAAATATGTAACACATAAACAAACGACAACCACTGAATTACAGGTACCTGATTTGGGACAGGCACATACATACAGAATGTGGCGGGGTTAAACATGTTAGCGGGATCCCAACCCTCCCCTAACCTGTTACAGTGGTGTTACAGTACAATATAAGAACGAACGATAAAAATCAGTTGAAAGAGGCTTAACTCATCAGATGGATAAAAATACAAATACTACAAATACAAGTGGACGTGACCGTATGTTTACTATAGAACAAAAAACCAACAGTAACATCTAATATAACTAATACACTTTCGCTTATTTTTTCCGGGTCCATTGGATTGTAAAATGTATAATTTTAGATTTATCATAATTGAACTCAAAAACATGCATGCCAGACCATACATTTAAAGCGTTTAATAACTTGGAAAATCGTTTTATTTTATGATTTTCTTATATCATCGGCATATTAGTGATGCACAAATTTTTCATCATTAACGGGGATTCCAATACTTAACCGTTCGACATTTTTAAATCAATCATTAATAAAAATGTTAAATATAAGGAGATATTTTTTGTTTTTGCCAGGACATTGTAGGTCTCTCTTCGACTTATGGCTTTTGATACTTTTAAACACAGCACTGAACACTATTAAATACACCTCTAACTGGTCCTATCAATTAAGTACATGCGCAAATTGCCTAAAAAAATATTTGAAATAACTTTATCATACAATTTTTTTAAAGTCTGTATAAAAGCTGCAAATTCAACCAACGATTTATTCTCAAGAGTTTCTATGGTAGAAGTTAAGGAGAAAGATGAAAACAACGTATATTTCCTTCAATAACCAATTTAGTGAGGCAGTCTTTCATCACACCAACGTGATCCTGTATGAAGCAAGTGCGAGATATATTCCATTGTAACAATGGATAAGTAGGAAATTGAGGACTTTTGAAAAGTTGTTAAAATACCTTTTTACCAACACTGAGGAATCGTCCAGAATATAACATATATCACGAATACTTTGTTAGATATTTGCACCTGGATACTTTTAATTTCATTGATAATTTTCACATTTGTGTCTTATGAAATTTCAAATTTTAACGTTTATTATAAGATCTGATTCTTCAATGTTTTCAATTATTATCTTATTGTCAACTTTAATTTTCCAAATACATTTTCAGACGATTATGCATTCATTGCCTTTTTATGCGTCCGGTGTTCTCCATATACATCATAGATAAAAATTCAGACAAGGGCAGACAACTGCGCTCATCTCCAAAATGTTTCCTATATCTTTCAGCACTTCTAACATAGAAGTTAAATAAACAGAAATGAGTTTGGTTGGATGATTTCATTTATTTGTCTTGTGTTTTTTTAAATATAGTTTCAAGAAAGTATGACACAATAGGAAAGGAAGAATGAATTACACTATAAATGATATAACGGTGTATGCGATTTTTTGCGTTTTTTAATTGATCGCATTTTAAGGAAGACATGAAGTTGCAGAGATAAAAGATGGTAGCAAAAATAGAATATGAACAAAGTAAAACAACAGTAGTGGTGAAGAAAAGACGGATCAGGCCACATGGAGAAAAAAAGCTTAAAAGATGGACAAAAGATTGCAGTCAAGTGAAAAGTTACATTTAAGTTAATGCTGGTTATTAAAAATTTTTGACGTAATTGTGAAACTGTAATCTTTATTAATAGTTATGAAAAATTCATTATAATCATGTGAAAACAATTAACTACCAGTAATGATTTTATATAACTTCAATCATACAACACAAGTGGGAAGTCAACAATTAGTGTCAAGTGTGTAGACATGATCTATATGTATAGAACGTACTATTATGTTAAGACATGCAAGGCTTAATTTTAAATATTTTGGAAAACTCTTAAAGAGTTTGGTATAAAAGAATTACAGCTGAGATTATATATCACTTCTGAGGAATAGCAGTGTAATATAAGGTAATAATTCATTTTATACAATAAGGAAATATTCAGAAGTCTGTATTCAACTGTATCAAGACTCATCTTTTATAAATGTGTTGTCATTGTCATGTTCAACCAGTTCCATTTTAAAATGATTATAACATTTTAAAATATTCTTCATGTGAGAGGTATATCAGTACAATACTTGATAGATTGTTTATTTGTTATCAAATCAACAATTTCTAGTCATTCTCCGATGTTGGAATTATCATTTTTGTTGTGTACAATGAAATGAAAACGATTTGAAGAATTCTGTATTTCTTCAATTTCAATAATTCTATGCCATTTTACTTCCATCTGACCACGTTTCAACATGTAAAAATGAAAGTAGCAGTAGACAGGAAATTTTATTCTTTAATCAGTGTTTTCTTTAAATATAGCACAACTTTAAGATTTATCATTATTACACAAGGTTTATAATTTGCATATTCCAAATTATACTTTTTATTTCTAACGAAATGTTGAAATTTAATTCATGAGTTGTGGCAGTCTTTTCTGAACAAAACCAGTATGAATCATCAAATTGACAATAGATAATCTTTGCTGTTACCACAAAATTATTATCGAGAAATATATTATTGTTTGTCTGTTTGTCTTTTTCTTGTTTTAGTCATGGCGTTGTCAGTTTATCTTCGACTTATGAGTTTGAATATCCCTTTAGTATCTTTCTCTCTTTCATCAACTATCATTAAGCATTTTCAAGAGTATTTTCTAACCAAACAAAGACAGATCTTACTTCAGTGTAATGTTTAGAAAATAAACGAAGATCTTTATTTGTTTGTTCTGTATTTGAATATTCATGTAAAAATGGGAAAAACTCAAGTAAAAACAGTATTTGCTGCTTTCAAAGTCACTTTGTAATAGTGGTATAGGTTTTTTGTCAATATCAATTCAGAAAGATTATACACAAATAACTGGTATGAGTGTTGGAACCAGCTGTCTTAAAAAATAACCCATCAAAAGTCGAGCCAAAGAACTATTACACATCAACTCTATAATTATAACACAGTATTATTAACTTGTTAGTGCCTTTCTATCATTTTCTTTAACTTATAGTTTTATTTTGTGATATCCTTTAATTATTTCTTATTATCAAAATATTCTTTATAAGTACTACATTATCGGCATTATTTCAAAAGCCTATGTGTCTAAAACGTTATCAATATAACGATATAAATGAAACCATCAAATTTATTATATTATCATTATCAAGTTTATGTAGGAACATATTTATTTTCTAATTCGAATCACTAAAATAACATTTGAGTAAAGTAATGTACTGATTTTTCAAAATTGATAATTTCATGATTTTATTATATTTGATAGTTTCATCAAGCAAGAAAATACCTTCTCCAGATGAAAATTGTATTTATATTTGAAATGGTTGTATTAGTTTTATACGACCACCATAAACTAGGCAGTAGAAATGATTTCCTGAAAAATAAGTCCATCACGATATAGGTGTATCATCACCATCCAGAGACTATCATATAGCATATATCACTAGCATTGTGTATTGTTATTTGTTGCAGTATGACGTTTGCTAGAAAAGGAGCATTGAACCTGATAGTAAAGTCATTTGAGGTAAATTTTAAAGTGTTATAAATGCAATTTTGATTTAATTTATACTTAACCACAAATTACATATACATTTATGTTGTAAGATGGTTAGGCAAGTGTTTTTGTGTTGTTATTCAGTTGGTTAAAATGTTGTTAAAAGTTGTATCACAACAGTTAAGAGGATTTTAGTCATTGCGAGAAGCAAGAATAGTTTGTCACATTAATTATTAGAATATTGATAGAGTCTCACTAATGCATTTGTTCCCATTGCATTTGAATAGGTTATTTTCGAGCTTTTTTTGCATTTTATGTGTATGGATCCCGGATGGACAATTAATTTTAGTATTCAACAAATTTAATAACGGCTTATTTGTCAAAACTTTGGCTTGAATTTAACACAAAAAATAATTTAAAACAACATAAATGAATCTGTAGTAATTTAGTAGTCGGGTTTTGACTTTGGGCGTTCCTGGTGCAGGTGGGTCTTGATGTGTGATTCGGATGCAAGAGGTTATTACAGTGTTGTTTCCATTTTGCTTACCATAGTAATTATATTTTACTAAATGTGTGCTTTATGTAGAAAGTGTAATATCAAGTACAAATTATTTTTATCGGCGTCTTTGTCTATTTGCTATCACCTAAAAAAACCTTTTTTGATGGTGTCTTTGTAAGATTTATTTGTAGGTTTGTTTGAATGTTTTAGTCAGTTGTTATGTGTTGTATGTCTGTTATGTATGTTATCACAGTTTTAGCTGCTGCATCCCAATAATTGTTACATTAACGTTTAGTGTCTGTTTGCTCACCTAATCATGTCAATATAACTGAACTATAACAAAAGTAAAATAGCAAAATTACTGAACTCCAAGGAAAATTCAAAACGGAAAGTTCTTTACCAATGGCAAAATCAAAAGTTTAAACACATCAAACGAATTGAAAACAACTTTCATATTCCTGAATTGGTACAGACATATACTTATGAAGAAAATAGTGGATTAAACCTGGTTATATAGCTAGCTAAACCGCTCACTTGTATGATAGTCGCATTGAATTCCATTATATTGACAACAATGTGTGAGCAAAACAAAAAGACATAATAGGTAAGATCGTCAAAAATTAGGGTACAGTAGTCATCATTGTGTTATAATCTTAATCACTATAAACTAAACAACCATTTCAAAAACGAAAAACAAAATGGCATACAGACACTCTATAGACAAAGTACATGAGCAAAAATGAAAGACAAGAATACAAAACATGACCATACCACAATAACACAATGGCAGTGTGTACAAATGACGATCCACGCCGAAAGTATATTACCAAAAATGACTATCTAATGATAGTTAAAGATATACAAAGATAAATAAAAAGGATACTATAACACGATATCAAGATGATAAACAACGTCATTACCTGGAATCTATACTTCGGGGTGAGTCAATGCTCCGTGTTGAAGGCCGTACCTTGACCTATAATGGTTTACTTTTATAAATTGTAACTTGTATGGAGAGTTGTCTCATTGGCACTCATACCACATCTTCGTATATCTATTCAAGACTATCATGTAATATTTATGAAGTTGATACGGATTATTTATCAACAAGGTCTTGGTATCTTCCAATTAACTTTTTGTTAGAAAGAACACGAGATGTTCTTTGACATAACCCTGGTTCATCAACTTTCTGCTCAGACACTGATGACGTTTTATAAAGTCTGAGTAGCTGATGCAAGCTCTTGAATATCGAAAGAGTTGGAAATTTATATCCCATATGCAGGTGAAGTTGGTATATGGCTGCTAAAATCTTTTCGTTTGTCATTGTCATAAACAACTGTTATATAAGTGGGAAGTTAAAATAGCCATAAAACCAGGTTTAAACCCAATATTTCCTTCGGATAATCTTTAATTTTGTCAGTTTTATGAACATCTCCTTTTTAAACTTACAATGGAGTTAGATTTTTGGTAATTCTATTATTTTTAGAAATAGCTTTTGTTTTTTTTCTGATAAAACACATTTTGGCCCTTATACATATGCAGCATTTGGCTTCAAAAACTTTTCAGTTGAGCGTACATTATGTATTTTTTTTTTAGAAACTCCTGTTATACTCCATACCTTTTTCATCCTAGTTATTTCAAACCAACAGAGAATATATGTTCACAAAATTTAATGACTCACTCTTTTCTACAGACAAGAATCAAACTAAATATAATGAAAACTAATTTGCAGATGCACCAGGCCAGAGTAAAACGATCCTCAATGCCAGATATTGAGAGTTCTTTGCACACGGTATTCACCAATACAGACGAAAACCTTGATGGACACATTACAGTAGACGAGATGGTAGACTCTGTCGTTGGTAGCACAGGCCTAACGATTGATCAGAACATGAGACGGGGGTTCAATGCTGTATTTGGTAATCCAAAATACGACTTGAATGAAAAATGGAACCCTCGAGGAAAATGGTATGGATTCATTAACATTAGAACAACACAGACATTAGTATATGTGTTATAGATTTGTTTGTATGTTACCTGTTTAAGCATATGCTACATAAACAATAACATTTACTAGATAATCATCGTTAGACAAATTTAATCAAAAACACAATTTGCAAACATAATCAGAGTAATTATTGAGCTGCAAGCTAGAATGTCATAAACTATTGAAAATTCTTAAACGTGACAACCTACTTTATGTTTTAATGAGCTCTTGCAATATTTGGTGATATGGAACCTAGCTAAAATGAAACAACTTAAGTAAATTGTTTGGAAACCTAAGGTCAAACGACTTTTTAAAGGAAATACATTTTGTACTCTCTTAAAAGACCAAATTATTTAATAAGTGTTTCCTGCAGTAAATGTAGCATTGGTAGTTAGGATTGATTTCCAATAATAGGGAAGTATTTAATTTATGGGTCATATTCCATTAGTCTTGAGATAAAGGATAAAAAATATCAAGTACCACGTAATGTACCAAATAGACATACAAGTCAATCAATATGATTGAGTGACCTATATTAACGGTAAACAAACCCGAAACACTTAAAAAAGATTCTTTAAGTATCTAATACTTCAAATTTAGTAAGAAAATATTGAAAGATAAACGTATAGAGAAACTGTTCACCCTACGTTCCAATAATTCTTCTTCATTATCTGATAGAAGATAATGCTAATTTGTAGATGTGCTTTATACTCTTGTACCATTAAAACTTAATTGACAAAAAACGGTAATACTCCTATTCGTTGAATCAAACGCAAATAAAGTATTAAAAAAAACGAAACATGTATAAAGTTTTTTTTAAAAATATATATAAAAAAATCGCAAGGTCATTTTGCTAACAATCTGAAGCAAAGGCTGCTTTCATGCCATACAAACATGTTTCCTCAGAGGAAAATTAAAACATGTAATTCATTCAAACATTTTACAAAACATAATCTTGTTAAATACTCTCATCAATTGGTCTTGTGTATCTAATCTGTAATAAACATAACACGTTACATAGTTTTAGCACTTAGACTTTGTACTGTATGGTCAAACTAATAACATTCCTGTACTTATATTACCTTGAAAGACCCGTTCGTGTTGTCATACATTGGACATTTCAACTCTAGATCATACCAAGGTTATTTATTTTTCATGATAAATTTATTTAAATGCTATATATTAGTATACACGAAACACACGTTCAGTGTATAAAATCATATACTTATGACTGTTGATAAATACATCTATCTAAAAAAAGAACTTGTAGTTTTCAATAAATATAGATTGTCAGCACGCATACAGAGAATAAAACTTTCACCTTTACAGAGTCCCTTATTTCCTCTAATGCATTTTTATATGGATAATAATAATAATAACTTTCCAATGCTGATTACTTTGGTAAACTGTTTTAGAATTGTGTCGTTTTATTATTTGTCATACTCAGTTTTGTCTTTTAAACAAGACTACAGTAAATTGGTTATTCCATAGTCAATTTCTTATATCGCAAATACTTTAAATGCTACCTTTTCTTTTTATTTAGAATATGGTGAACTGATTAAATCAGGAATGGGAATGTGGAAAAGAAAAACTGAGAACTTGCATTGAGGGGAACAGGACAGGAATTTGACAATATATTTTGGTTTAAACGGTGTTTCTGTTAATGTTAGTAATACAGAATAATAACATGTTAAGTAATATTGTTTGTCATTGTCGTCATATTTAGAAAATAAATGTTCCTAAAATGTTATCTGAATTAACAAAGTAACAAAATCAAATTCGAATATATTAAATTTAGTGTTTTTTTTAATTTATATTTACACTTCATTTTGAAAGCTCCTTTGGGTGTCTTCTACTGAAACTGTACAACCTTTATCTGATGTCTAATTACGGAATTTGTCAACACATAAATCAAATGAAATTCGGACCATTTCTTACAGATTAAAACAAACAAATGTTATAGGTTTGATATCTATTATTCCAGCACCATGAGGCTACTGATTGTTTGAATCAGTATGTTTTAAACAAAGGCTGTAAATACCAAGTAACTTGAATTTAAATTGCAAGAAGGCATACGAATATTTTAATAAGTTTTAAGTTTTATGTTTCAGTTAATGCATCGTTTAAGGAAAAATTTAAAATAATGCGTGAATAGTCAAAAATGTTTTATAATTAATGTTCGACTTTTTGTGAAAATAGTCTTTGAACTTCAAACTAACACCTGTTTTAAAGGCCCATCTATTATCATGGGCGAAACTTTACTTACATTACATTTCTATTTTTCGCTGTCAAATTTAGTCGAACTAATAAATTAATTCAATGTATTTTTTTCCATTGTACTTGAACGTTTGCAAGGAATTTCTAAATTCTCTTCGGAACAAAAAACCTGCCGCTAGCGTATCAGGGCCTTTAATGATCAATAAAAACTTTGGAAAATAGGTTGTATTGAAGAAAAAAAAACTGTATTTAATGTTATAGTAGCACCCTTGTGTTGGTGTTGGTTATCAAGATCAAAATCTAGATGTCGTCTTGCTTTAAAATACACCATTGAATATCTCATAAAAACCAAGATACAGAACATTAACTAATACGTGGTTAATGATGATATTTTTCGATACACCCAAACATATTCTTTCCTTTCTAAAAACTACTGCAAGCAAATTGAGACTATGCTAATCATGATTCTCAGCAGACTTTTTATCAGTACTTAGAAAGTAGATCTTAAGATAAAATACCTTTAACAGTTTTTGGATAATGTGCATTTTATATAAAAAATGATGAAGATAGATGATCAAATAAATCCGACTTCTGCAAGGTCTGTAGTTTTATTGACTGCATTTACTCTGTAACTCACAAGTTTTGGTCGGAAATATGACAATGTAATTGTTGGACGTCTTGTGTTCATGGCACTGCACTAACCTAACTAGTAATGATGCTGTTACGAAGTATCCTTAACGAATCCCTATACATATTTACGCCTAAGCACTTACACTTTAAATCAATCAATGCAGTTTGACATATCAAACAAGAAAATTTATGGTTAAGGGGTTGGGATCTCAACCACTTACTAGATATATGAACATTCGAAAATGGTTATATATATACATTAGGTATGTGCTTGTCCCAAGTCAGGAGCTTGTAATTCAGTGGTTGTCGTTTGTTGCTTTGTATCATATTTGTTTTTTGTACATTATTTTGTACATAAATTAGTCCGTTAGTTTTCTCGTTTGACTTGTTTAACATCTGTCATTTCGGGGACTTTATAGCTGACTACGCGGTATTGGTTTTGCTCATTTTTGAAGGTTGTACGGTGACCTATAGCTGTTAATTTCTGTGTCATTTGGTAGCTTGTGGAGAGTTGTGTCATTGGCAATTTATTTTTATATGTATAGTAAATTATAGTAAATATATTGTTAAGGATAGGGATTTCGATCATTTTGAGGATTTTTATGGATGGCACTTTCGCTATATTTCTTTTAATTTGATTTGTCAGTTATAACATTTTTTTTATATTCCATACATGTGATAAAATAATGATCAAGATCAAAGGTCAATGTCCTAAATGATCGTTGACTGTTCAATCTTTTTGAATGGATCCCTTGCTGTTCTAAAGATTTATCATTTCAACATAAAATTGAAATAAAACTACCCGTAAGGGTCTTTATTTAACCCCACCCTCTTTTGCACCCCTTTCAAACTACCCCTTACTAGGCCCTAGTCCCAAAATACCCTGAATGCACCTCTCAACATGGAAGTCTGACAGACATAATGAAGAAATATTAAGTAAATCTGGCCAGCGATTTCCGAGAACTGCTGCAGACAAGTTCAGGTGTCAGAAAGCGAAATAGAAGAATTAGAAAAGTAATTTAGAAAAAGACCTGATGTCACCCGAACTTTGTTTCAATTTTAAAATGTTCTACCACAAACTTAACATAACAGATCTCTTTTCTGAAAGGTTTCAAAGTTAAAGGTTTAGCTAGCTATAAAACTAGGTTTAATCCACCATTTTCTACGCAAGGAAATGCAAAATGCATGTATCCAGTCAGGAATATGACAGTTGTTTTCCATTCGTTTGGTGTGTTTGAGCTTTTGATTTTGCCATTTGATAAAGGACTTTCCGCTTGGAATTTTCCTTGGAGTTCGTTTTTTTGCTATTCAACTTTTGTTCATTGTTTTACCTTTGTTGCAATTTCAATGACGACGGCGGCTTTTGTGAAAATGCTCAAGACTGACGACGCATATATGAAATATACATATGACAAAACAATTTCTGTTAAATTTGGAATAAAGACGTTTCCATGGGAATGGTTGCAGTTAAGAATTCCAAAGTCATGAACACAACTGTGATATGGTAAAAATGTTTGTATTCTTGTCTTTCATTTTTGTTAATGTGCTTTGTCTATATGCCTTTTTGTGTTTCTTAGTTACATAATTGTTTTTTTTATAGTGATTAGGATAATAACACACTGTTGACTGCTGTACCCTTATTTTTGACATTTTTACCTATTATGTCTGTTTGTTTTGTTCACACATCGTTGTCAATATAATGGAATTTTATGCGACTGTCATACAAGTGAGAAGTTTAGGTAGCTATAAAACCACATAAGAAAATGCCTGTACCAAGTCAGGAATATGACAGTTGTTATCCATTTGTTTGATGTGTTTGAGCTGTTGATTTTGCTATTTGATTATGGACTTTCCGTTTTGAATTTTCCTCGGAGTTCGGTATTTTTGTGATTTTACTTCTGATGATGGTTAATGTAATGTTTGAGTTCTAACTAGTCACATCCAGTCAAAAAGTGCGACAAAAAAATAAATAAATGTAATCTTTATAATTATAATGTATAATTTATAGATAACAATTTGTCACCCAATTTAAGTCTGGGATAACACTGTTATAACTAGATTTGGTTCGTATGGCGTTTATATATCTCAATTATTAAGTTCGTGCATATTTGCACTATACGGATTTGATTAACAGCGATATGTTTTTGCGGTCTAACATTTTCAGATACATGTATAGTCGTCTGAGCTGTAATTTTACCGAATCTGTCCAATTCTCAATTGTGACATTTTGCTGAGTGTGAATTCGTATGGCAGGTGATGCAGGCTAAGCTTGTACTTATCCTGCCAAAGCGTCTAGTCTCGCTCCTTTTGGAGTTTATGGTTATTCCTCAGTAGTTGTTTGTTACCTTGTGTTGCCTCTTCCTAATCGATTTATGAGATTTGAACATCAGTAAATTACTGTCGTCTTAATTTGCAATTGGAAGCAATTGAGAAAGTTTGCAATTTGAATCAATAGAGGAAGTCATCCCGAACTTACAGGTACCATGGCAACGGTAGCAATTTCGAAACTTGTAAACACTTACAGCACAAATGTGACTAGCAATAAGATTTCCAGTCCTATTGTCTAAAATTGGCTTTTTGCATACGGTACATACTGATACAACACTCTGTTATGTATTTCTGACATATTTTTTGTAATAGCAATGTCTTTTTGAATATCGGCATACACTTAACAGATATATTATGAAGAATTAAGCGGTGTTTGATTTGCAGACAAATAGGTCAATATAAACCTGTCTGAAGTTATTTAAATAAATAAAATTCCTTGTGATGACTTTTTAGTTTTTTTTTCTTATGGTATATGATTTTATTTGAATTGTACATTTAGTACCGGTATCTTATCCGGGCCTCGCTAACGATAGTATATAGCATATCAGTGATAATGTTTAGTACTTGTTAGTTCACAATATATATAATAATACAGCTAATAAATAAAATGTAACTGATGAAAAAAAATAATATAATATATTATAAATTTTAGTTTAAGAAGACAGATTATTTTTTTCTGCAACCACATTTTGGAAGTTCTCACATTTGCTTTCTTTATTTATCAATATTTCGTAATGTTGAAACATTCCTTTTTAAAAAATTCATACACGTTGACTTGTTTTTTTTTTCTTTCTAATATAATGATATATATAATATGCTTTGTATACAGTAAAAAGTATAATTGTTTGAAGATCGTTTATACGGTAATTATTTGTACCGTGTGTCTTGTATCCATACAAAAATGATGCAAGTGATGTTATAGGATGTCTTATTTTATTATGTTTATCGAGTAATAGTTTTATTTGATCCCAAAATAATTTCAGAAATTTGCATGTCAAAAAATAATGTTCATTATCTTGAATGACATATATTACATAAAGTTGTGTTTGTTATTTTCCGAGAGAAAAGTAATTGTTGGTTGGTAAAATGTAAGGTCGAAATTTCCATCTTAACATTTTCAATGTATTGACTTATATAGTTAGAGATAAAGTACAACATTTGTTCTCTTTTACTTGTGTTGTTTTCAAAATTAGGCATTCTGTCCCATTTTTGAAATCCTATTGGCTTCTCATAGTATCTATTTAGGAGGGAAATGTAAATGTCTTTGGAGTATTTTTTGTTAATTGATACAATTTTTTCCATTTCTCTCTTGAAATTTAAATTCGAATCAGTAGCATCTTTTGTTTTAATTGAGTCGTCATTAGTTAGCTCTTGTAACCACAGTTTTGGTATTGCTTTCATCAATTTAGAATATTCCGAAAACCAATTAGCATGGCAAGATAGTTTATCTAAAATCATATTTTGATTAAATTTTCTTTTATTATCAATTCTGTCATTTACAAATTTTATTTTACTGTTCATCCAGTTTTTGTAAATAAGGCATTTACAATTTCATTTGATATATTTATTGGCCCATATAATTTGCTGTCTAATCTGTTTTTATGATAGTCGATTTGATTCTTTTTCAGATTTAGAATTTATCCATGATTTGATTATATTTAAGCAAAATGTGGTATGATTTCTTTACGTTTATTAATCAAAGTAATATTGTTAAACTTCATTTGAAATATAAGGAATTCTTGTATAAATTTATCTAAGTAAATTTTTGGTAAGACTTTCCAATTGGGTGATTGATCTTCGTTATCAATGAGTTCTTTTTTATCCAATTAATATTTATGGATTCTATATATTTATCTATGTGTGTCATTTTAAGCTCGCCAGCATGATAATTTTTACTTATTATAGCCCTTTTAACTTTTTCTGGTTTATTGTTCCATATAAAACTATATATTATTAAATTTTGCTAGGTATTCTTTATCAATTTCTGTTACTGACGCAACATAAGTGATATTTGGTAGGATTAATGATTTAACAAGAGTTGTCTTACCTAACATAGTTAATTTTCTTTTATACCAGTCTTTAATTATTATTTTTTTCTTCAGATTTTTCGTTTTGTCGTTGCAAGTTTAATTTTTAACACTCATTTTATTAAGTCCAAAGTATATTAACAATACCTTTATCTATTATTGAGTCCACTTAATGTTTTCAACCTTATCTTTACAGGACTTTAAATTGCCGAGCCATATTCCCTCTGTTTTATTTCGATTAAGCTTTAGGCCTGAAAGTTAACCGAAAATGTCGATAATACTCAAAATTAATGAAACTTCCTGTTTTGAATTTAAAAAGAAAGTGGTGTCATCTGCAAGCTTAACTTTAAGGGTTTTATTATCTAGTTTAATTTGAAAATCTCAAATATTTTTATTTTCTCTAATTCTACATGCTAACATTTTAACAACAATAACGAAAATTATAAAACTCGCGGGACACCCTTGACGGATCCCGCGCTCAATACTGAAGGGTCTTGAAATCCAGCCATTATTTAATATGCAACCCTTTATGTATGTTTATAAAGCATAAAGTAGAAAGAAATTTTTTTTATCTTTCGAGAAAGCTTATTGTTTTGAAATTAAATCAAATGTATTGAATTCAGTTTCAATAAGAGTAAAGCGATGTGTACATCAGCTATCATTGTTAAGTCGTGTTTCGCATAAATGCATATTGATACGCAGGTAAAATTAAAATGTATGTTTACGTAATATTTCGGTCAACGAATCAAAATGTTTTTATACACAATTGAATTGGACTGTTTTTTATACAATTATTAAAAAACATTTTGTAAATCAATAAAAAATGTTAATCAACAGATAATAGATTTTAATTTGTTCCAAAAGTACTTTTCGACTGCTATTTTTACTAAGGAACAATTGCAGTGGCTACGCATGTGTACCTTTTGATGTCATTCAGTTGCAAATATGTCTGTCGTTTATCACCATCAGTGAAACAGAAGAAGTTATTATACTGTAAGTTCACATTTCTAATCTACGTATTGCAAAAAAGTACCATTAACATTTGTTACGTTAATGTTGTTTATTATAAGTTAGAAATCAATAATTTTCCATGCGCAAAATGCAAAAATTGTCAACTAGGAAGTTAAATTATATTATGAAATTGGAAACGTAGAAAGTACATTAAAATGTCAAATGTCAAAGATGAGCGTATTCGGTATTGCTATTGTCAAATCATTGATGTCACTAAAACTAGATAAGTCATGATACCATTATTTAAATCAAATGCCTTTAACCCCTTAATTGATTTGAACATTTTTCTTTAATTGTATGGCTTAGATACCAGGCTTAATATTTTGTACGCCAGACGCGTGTTTTTTTCTGCAAAAAAAACCTCATCTGTGACGCTCGAATAAAAAATGTTAAAAAGGCCAAATAAAGTTCTAAGTTGAAGAGCATTGTATGATAAGTGTTTATTGTCAGTTTTAGGGAAATGTTTTGCATGGGTATACATACTATTTCTTTTGTGTTGCATTTAGAAGAATGGAAACTACATCTTACAACACAAGTTTATCGAATGTAATGGCACAATCAACAGGACACCTACCACGACAACATATATTCAATATCAAGACATTTAAGATATTAGGTGGTATACAGATAGGGCTTGGTGGAATATTAGTCATCATGGGTTTGGTTGTATTGACAAGGATGTCTATCATATTCTACTTTGGTATACCGATATTAATATGCTCAGGATGGGTATGTTAATTATGGTTTTAGAAAATGGTCTTTTAGCAACATGAAATGTAGCCGCTATATTAGCAAAATATACTATCACTAAATTCAATACCATGATTTGAAAGCCAATATTGTCAATGTTTCATAAACATACATGAATAGAGTGACATCCTAACTGCTTATCAACATAATGAAAAAGCAAAATTATTGAAGATACATGGATATATATTTCATTATTATCATTAGACCACTTTCGAAAAAGGTCAATAAAATTATCATTGCATTTCATTGGATTAGATCACCTAACTTTTTTTTTTTTAAATATATGTTCTTTTTGAAACATCTTCTATATAATAGAATTATAATTTGTTTGGCAAAGTAGTCAAGGTAAAGTTGTGTCACTGACTGTTTTCTAAATTGGTCCATTTGTTTTACATAGAAATAGACTTTGTCCATAGTAGATAAAGGTGTACCCAATATGAATTGAATTTTTGATGTCTTTCCTTAGAAAGGAAATTCGTTCTAAAGGCTAGTAGTACATGTATTTAGAATAATTGTTTACAGAGTCCATTTTCTGAGTCGTCAGGAGGTCTTTCATAATACCAACCACACAAAATATGAACACGAAACTTTCTTAGCTTTCAACATATTGCTCAATCCTGAGTTCAAAAGAATTGACAATCGTAGGATATATTTCACATTCTTTAATAACCTACCAATGTTATTTGACATAACCCTGCAACGTAAGCATGCGTTGTTAGACCAGTTATTAAATGTTTAACACCTTTCCCCATTTTAGGTCTACATTTGCTACAATGTATTAGATATCTGTCTCAATAATAGCATGATAATAAAAGATTACACGATACTGAAGTGCAGCGTAGCATGATATTTATAACCTGAAAAATTACATATAATTTGCCTTCGAAACGAAATATTTGAAATCCAAAAGTGTCAAAAGTTGAAGAGCTAACCCCATTTTTCACATGGAAATAAATATATATCTTTTAGATATCAGAATAAATTATCAACTATCAATACTAGTTTAAATTGTTTAACATATAATAAGTATAAAAACACTGATTACTATGATAATGATACCATTGAGCTTCTTGGACTCATATGGTCCATAAAAAGTGGAATTGACCAAATTATTAGAATCTAGTATTTCCCAAATTTTCACAACAGCTTTACAAATTCTGTTATTCCTGTTTGCTTAAAACAGAATACACTACTTCACCTGTTTAATAACGGCTAACAATGACAATCAACCGTTTATAAGGTTGTTTAGTGACCTTCCGTTTTGAATTTTCCTTGGAATTCGGTATTTTTGTTGTTTTACTTTTTATAAGTACAGTATAACGAATATATATCTTGTTTTTACTTGAAGTGTTGTCAAACATTTATACATTTTGTTATTTTTATTTCAACAAAATATTGCTTTACCTGTATCATTGTAGTTTATCCTGACTGGATTCCTACCAATGTGCATGTCAGGGAATTCAGTTTCTAGCTTGAAATGCCAGGTATAGACAGCTGAAAAAATAATTATTTTCACTACGTGTGTTTATTTTGCAAGAATGACTCTAAAATACAGCAAACGAATATGTGTTATTATCGTTAGTATACTTTCTATAAAAAGAAGCGAGTGTGTAAATGTGTAAATTAAGATAGTCTTAAATATAAAACGGTTAGGTTTTAACAAATTGACGAACGTTTGTAAATCTTGAAAAAAATTAAACAAAAATGAACCAAAAGAAAACTTTTTTTTTTAATCAAAGAACAGGTAACATCATAGTCAACTAAAAGAAGACAATTCTACAAATACCAGTGGATAAAAAATTATACAAAAATAATAGAATGAAAATGAAAAGTGGAGTAAAGATAATAGGAAAAAGATACACCACAGTAAGTCTCTTTCCTTCAGCAACATATTTTCTGTTTCGCCATTTCAATTAAGACAATTTTCGTTTACTTCAGAAAATAGGCTTCATGGTTTGCAGTATAATAGGAGCAGTAGTATTTTCACCTATTGTGTTTACATTAGCTATTGGCTCAGGAATGAGTGTAAGTTATACATTTAATGATAATTATTGGTCGAATTATTTGTTATACTTTTAAAACTCCAAATTCTATATTTGCTGATACAGGTTTGAAAAAAGTCAAAACTATGTTTGAACCATTTTTCGAAAAGAAATACTCAATGAGACTTAAACTGAAAAAAAAAACACACACTTAGATTAAAGAACCCCAAAACACACACTGAAAACTAAAAATTACACACTAAAATTTCATAAAGTTGCACTGTGTGTAATTAACAATTCTCAGTGTGTGTTTTTGAATTTATTTCATCTTAGGGTGTCTTTTTAAAATCTCAGTGTGTAGTTTAAAAAAAACCTGAAAAACACACACAGAGAATTGAAAATTACACACTGAGATTTCAAAAAAACACACTGAGATCAAATAAACTGAAAAACACACACTGAGAATTAAAAATTACACACTGAGAATTGAAAATTACACACTGAGATTTAAAAAAAAAGCAAACTAAGATCAAATAAAATGAAAAACACACACTGATAATTTATAATTACCCACAGAGAATAAAATAAATTACACACTGAGATTTGTGCGCACTTTTAATGCGCATATATCTAATTAGCATCCTTAATCTGAATCAATTACAAGCTTAAAACAACTAGGGGGCAGAACTCATTAGTCCTTCAATTTGGCGCCAAATGTTTTATAAAAAAAAACATTAGAAATACAACTTATGGATAAAACTTCGTTATTAACGACCAATAAAACAAGAAAAATACCCACTTATACTCATTACAAAACATAACCAAATGGTGAAAATTTTATTAAAATTATAAGTGGAACAGTCTGCGAAAAGACAAACAATGCAGTGACATTTTTACCCAAGAGCCTATTATAGCATATAAACGTAACAAAAATATATAAAATTACCTTGCGAAATCAGGGTAATAGTTTAAAGACTTTTGAAAAAGGGTCCATGCTTAAACAGTTTTAAGCAAAAAATCCCGATACACTGTTATTAATAATCTGAATTAAAGGCAACAAACTTATGAATATGTGTTAGCAAAACGATGTTAAGTCTTGAAATTTATAACGAATATTGTTTGAAGGAACTGCATTCATTATAATGACAAGAGTTCGGGAGACCAAGATATTATTCTGTTGAATTATTCATCTCATGAATATTCATTAGTATTGTGCATATTAATTTAGTGTGTATTTTTGAAATCTCAGTGTGTAATTTGAAATTCTCAGTGTGTGTTTTTCAATTTATTTCATCTCAGGGTGTCTTTTTAAAATCTCAGTGTGTAATTTTAAATTCTCAGTTTGTGCTTTTCATTTTTCTAAATCTCAGTGTGTAATTTTCCATTTCTCAGTGTGTTATTTTAGGTTTTTAAATCTTAGTGTGTTTTTTTTAATTCTCAGTGTGTAATTTTTTTTCGAAAAGAGGGTTAAAACATCGTTTTGTCGAGAATGGCTTGCCATAGAAATGAACATGTTAAGTGGATTCTGCACTTTAATTCTTATAGGAGACTTTACAACTATTTTTCGGTGTTAGTTTTTAACAAATAATGAGTTAATTTAATTAAAGACGCAGGAACGAAAATGATCAGTATAGTTGCTTACTTCAATTTTTGCAGCTATTCACAATTGTTGTTCTATACTTCGTACATACCCCGTTAACAACAACTGAATGAATATTATTCATGTTATCATAGCGGGCCTATTTAATATATTTGAATGTGTCACCGTTGTAGATACAGATATTCCCGGCTCCAGCTGTACGTTGTGCTCATTTTGATTTAAAAACTCTTCATTGTTTTAATTAGTTTTGGATTTTTAAATATTTTTGGTGCAGATAAAATGATACCTTTAATGTTAGAAAAAATTGAAAATAACAAAAATACCGAACTCCAAGGAAAATTCAAAACGGAAATTCCCTTATCAAATGACAAAAGCAAAAGCTCCAACACATCATACGAATGGAAGACAACTATCATATTTCTGACATGGTACAGGCATTTTTCTTAAGTACAAAATGGTGGATTAAACCTGGTTTTATAGCCAGCTGAGCCTCTCACTTGTATGACAGACGCATAAAATTCCCCTATTTTGACAACATGGTGTGAACAAAACAAACAGACAATGGAATAGAGAATAGAAACTGGGAATGTTTCAAAGAGACAACAACCCGACACAAATGCGGCGGTGTAAGTCATGATTTGTGAGATCTCAACCCCTCTCTATACGTCTAGCCAATGTGGAATAAACACACAGCAAAATTCACAGTAAAACTCAGTTAATATGCACAGATATGTTGCTAAGTAGGATAATGGATTATTTTTCTGGTAAATTGCATGTGGAGGTTTTTCAAAGATTTGTAGAATGGTTTTTTTACAGAACATGTGTACATAATTATATCTAGTAAACTATTATAGATTTACACACAATTTATATTTCAGTATTTTTACACAGACTATGGAAACAATATGTGTATTTTATCGTTTTCCATAGCCGTATTGGTTTTTGCTTTAGCAATAGTTGCAGTCATTTCAGCTTCCTAATGTTGCTGTTGTTCGCCTTGGGGACGTCAGCAGGTAACTATGTAATTGAAGTAGTAAATACACTCATCATATATACCAGGATTGAAATTTTGCAAACCAGATGCACGTTTCGTCTGCAAAAGATTCACCAGTGATGCTCGAATGTAAAAAATAAAAAACAAGGCCGAAATAAACTACGCGGTTAAGAGCATTTGGAACCCAAAATTACGAAAGGTTTTACAGCTTAGGTAATCTATTTTAGGGTAAAATATCCTTAGTAATTCGAAAAAAAGTTTTGTAAACAGTTAATTTATAAAAATGACAATATCTATGACAATTAATGTCAACACAGAAGCGTTTTTCCATAAAAAACTTTTGAATGCTTATAGTAATAAAATTGAGAATGGAAATGGGGAATATGTCAAAGAGACAACAACCCGACCAAAAGAGCAGACAACAGCCGAAGGCCACCAATGGGTCTTCAACGCAGCGAGAAAATCCCGCACCCGGAGGTGGTCCTCAGCTGGCCCTTAAGTAACACTGTTTTGGTTTGTGACCCGAATTTATTTTCGCTTAATCGATTTATGACTATTGAACAGCAGTATACTACTGTTGCTTTTATTAAAATTATATAATGAAAGTGTTACTAGATTTCTGCCTAGTATCTATCTATCTTAGAATTTCAAAGTTTGTACACAATAAATTGTCTATTGAAAGTAAGACTTATGGGATATAAACACAAAAAGACAGAATTTTTTCATACCTTGCCAAAATATTTTGTTGGAATATATTGTACAAATTATATGCCAACAAGTTTGTTTTCTAGCTGCAAGTTGTGATATTTTGACTAGATTTTGTAAATTTATACAAGACAAAAAAATTTCATATGAAATTAAATGAGAGAATTTTGAAATAAAATACAAGAGAAAGATCTTTTAAAATGCTATTATAAAATTTAAAAAAAACAAAAAAAAATTTAAACCAACCTGTTACCATAAATTATTGCAAGCTATTATACAAACTAAATAAAAAAAAAGACACTTGAGAACACACAAGAAATATTCTGTTGTAATTATAGTCCTAAACAGGAAATCACACAATTTTCTTTATTCAAATGAAAGTCGTAAACATGAATTTCATTCCGGTCTGAAATTTTTTTCATATTTCATAAAGAAATCTTGACATATTTTACTATCCAAGATTGCGGAAGACTCTATGAGAACCATATTTGACGTCCAGCGTCAAGTTAAATGCATATTGATGACAAAGATGTAGAATATACCAAAGGTACAATAAAAGCTCATAAGTCGAAAAGAACACGCTAAAACCATGGCATCAAACGAAAAACGACGAATGGACAAGAATGAAACAAGAAAACACTACATAAAAAACCCAACTTAAAACTGAGCAACACGAACCCAATCAATAACCCGTGGTGATATAATGTGCTGCGGGAGGGTAAACAGATTCTGTTTTACCTGTGGCATTGGTCATGGTCAGTTCCAATCCGCTCATAATGTTCATTTGTTAATATCACAACCGCGCAAAAAAGTGTCGTGATTTTGTTTCGTAAATTGTACCATATTCGTAGTCATCTGTGACACCCATTTCCCGAACTGTCATCCAAATAATGATCGTGTTTTGTAAACTTTCGAAGGGATGCCACTTTACCACTTGGAACACTTGGTTCGATAGATTTTTCGCAAGCAACAACCCATTGTTAACAAAGTCATGACAGGATCCATAAGATTTTGAATACCGTGTCAATTGGGAGATATATACTCCATATACAGGCGATATTTGAACGTTTTATACATAGAAATAGAAGGTCATAACTGGAAAGCCGAAAGCAACTCTTGTCGTTAAAGCTGGTCAAGGTATGATGCAGACTTAACTGCATCTATGATACAAGTAATCTTCATTTGAAGTTCGTTGGTATACATGCGTCCCCAAACTTTGTATTTTTAAGAGAGAGGAATACGGATAACTGATCTCAGAGTAATCACATTTAAAAGCTAGTTCAAATGAAAAATATAGTTTTATAAATGAAATATATTTGTATGTTGACCGCTGAACAAAGGTAGTGTGCATCCTAAGAAAGGCAAAAAATATTATAAGGATATTAAAACTCGAAGACAAACTGGCAACGCCATAGCGAAAACAAACACGGCTAAACGACAAATAACAGTCTGCAGAACACAACATAGACAAACTAAAGACTGATCAACACGAACCCCGACTACATTATGTAGTTCCACACGGTCTGATTGTTTATATAAACTATGAAAAAGTTTACATTAATTTGGGATAATGTACCCTTATTACCATCTCCTCCAAATAGTACATGCATAGAGTAAGAGTACTGTTCAAATCAGTCAACTAAAAATCGCATGCTACAATATCCAAAGTAATTTTTCAATATTTTAGTGTTGTGTACAACTTTTACCATGAATATTGCAGTGTTCATCGAATGTCAAGGAAAATGATTTTTAAAGTAATTGTAAAAACGTTTTTACCAATTTACCAACAAGTATCCGCGAAACATATCCGAATGGATTAAGGCTGTGAGGTCGTTGATACAACTCAGATTTCAGAAACTGAAAGGGTCTATCAATACCCATGCTAAATCAATCTTTAAAGACCCAAATATTTCAATACACTTGTCCTACCTCCATGTCAAATATGTTGTTGTCCCCGCAGATAAAGCCCCAAACAACATCGTTTTTGTGTGTAAATATCACATTACATAAACTGCTTGATAAATGAATAAGATATTAATAATTCACTTGGAAACTCAACATATACCCCCACGACTCTGACTAAAGAGAAAATCATGGATAATCGTAGGTCTGTTATATGTTCCTTTGGAATTTCAACCAAAAATGAAGAACTGGATCTTCCATCACGGTATTGGATACCTAATCTACATAAGTGTCCTTACAAACAACGGTATATTGCTGGGTCTTCCAAATGCTAAACGAAACCTTTAACAAGTATCTTGTCTTAGGGAGGGATAAATCCTACTTTGTAAAAATCCATCTGATTCAAACTAAAAATTCTCAGAATGACATTATCAAGATACTTGATTTCTTGATTGACAACATATTTGTTACGTTAGGAGGACGTGTTTTTCAACAAACAATCGGCATTCCCATGGGAACCAACTTTGACCCTCTTCTTGCCGACTTGTTCCTTTATTGTCATGAGGCTGACTTCATACAGGAACTTCTTAGGAAGAAAGAAAAGAAGTTAGCAGTATCCTTTAACTTTACTTTCCGCTATATAGATGATCTCTCTCACTAAATAATTAAAAATTTGGTGACCACGTTGAACGCAATTATCCCATCGAACTTGAGATAAAGGATACAACAGATACAGTTAAGTCTTCCTCATATCTTGATTTACATCTAGAAATTTACAATGAGAGTCTGCTGAAAACAAAACTTTACGACAAAAGAGATGATTTCAGCTTCCCAATTGTAAACTTTCTATTTCTATGTAGCAACATTCCAGCAGCAACTGCATACGGAGTATATATCTCCCAATTGATACGATATTCCAGGGCTTGTATTTCCTATTATGATTTCCTTCTTAGAAGTTTGCTGCTCACAAGGAAGCTATTAAACAAAAAGTTCTAAGTGGTGAAGTTGAAATCATCCCTTCGTAAATTTTACGGAAGCCATCACAAGTTGGTTGACCGTTATGGAATATCCGTTTCACAGATGGTAGCGGATATGTTCCTAATGTCGTATCTACAATCCCGCCCCCTTTTCACGAATGTGACCTACCGAATTAGACGTATTACCGGGTTTGTACTAAAATAAGCAACACGACGTGTGTCACATGTGGAGCAGGATCTGCTTACCCTTCCGGAGCATCTTTCTGAGATCACCCCCAGTTTTTGGTGGGGTTCGTTTTGCTAAGTCTTTAATTTTCAATGATGTGGTTTGTGTACTATTGTTTGTCTGTGTGTTTTTTTTCTTTTTTAGCCAGAGCGTTGTCAGTTTATTCTCGACTTATAAGTTGGAATATCCCTCTGGTATCTTTCGCCTCTCTTATATAACCGAAAAATGTAGGTTTTTAGCAAAGTATTTGGGTCTTTATAATGTATTACATTTCTGATGGTCACCTTTTAAGATGAAATGTTCAGATTCCTATACAGTTATTTATGGATCTATCGTTGATTTTAGTTGAAAATAACATTTTAGTTTGGATTTTAATTGCAACCATCTCAGTCATCAAAGTGTTATAAATCATTTTACTATCTAGTTGTATCATTTTCGTCTACACAAAGAAAGTATAATTGCGAGAAAACATATGCAAAGCAAGCACTTTTATTGAAAAAATGATAACTCATCGAGACTTTGAAAGCTGCAAAGATTTTAAATATATATACCTTTAGTCATGTCTGTTGAGCATGAAATAACATACACGAGTTCATCTTTTACTACAGATGGTTGTTTTGATGAGTCCTCCACAGCCTGGAATGAATCTACATGCCCTTGGAAATCAAATTTGGAACACAAACATTCAGACATTAGTTGAAACAACCGGAAAAACAGAGGTTTATTCAAATGCTCAACAGTACCAACTTGTTGGAACTGATCAAGTGGCTTGTTATTTACAGAATCCGAACATTTCAAATCCACCACCGTACGAGGAATGAATGAATCCAATATACATGATGTATTATTATCTAGAGCATATAACTATAATAATGTAATGATGTATTTTAACTGAAAATATAAACAATCAAAATAAATCATAAAGGACAGAAATCAACGCCCACCTTCCAATACATATGAAACCTTAAGAAAAACGATGTGTTTTAAAGTTCTATACTTTAATCACTAGTATGGGAGCATGGACCTTACATCCATGTTTTTGGGATTGTGCTGGATAGTTGTCTCATTGGCAATCATACTAAATCTCATTATTTTAATGAGGAAAAGCCGATGACTAGTAGATGTATTAGAATTAAGAAAAACAAGCAACTTAAAAATACAAAAAAAAAACCAACCCTTCTAATTAGGTGCACAAAGTCTTTACCCGTTTTGATGATTTTTTACTTTTTACATACGCTATTCGATTTTGAGCGTTCCTGATGAAGATAAATCCAGAAAAACGCTTCGGACGCATGCCATTTATAGCATGTTTATTCAATTTGTTACAGCACTGTGTTAAGACCTCTTCTGTAGGATTATGAGTCCCCAGGGGCATCATCAGCTTAGTAGTCATTACTTTCGGTACTAACATGATTTATAACAAACCTTTCTCAAATTGTCCGTTTATAAATTTTGAATTATGAAGAAACGAAGGTTTCAACTTCCTCAGGCAAAGTTGACGTTAGATTGATTTGGCTATTTTTTATGTCATTTTTTGACATATAGCTATTTAACTGTTTCGGTTCTTTAATATTCTTGGCGTTCAAAAGTTATGGACAAAAAGTGCGGAAGGAGAAAAAACAGATAAACGTACGATAAAATTTTGTCACTTGACTTCCGACTGAGGTGACACAATAATAACACGATTTTTAATAAGAAAAAAGTATAATAATAACAAATATTCCGAACTCAAAGGAAAACTCAAAACGGAAAGTCCCTTATCAAATGGCAAATTCAAAAGCTCAAACACATTAAACAAATGGAAAACAACTGTCAAATTCCTGACTTGGTACAGGTATTTCCTATGTAGAAAATGGTGGAGTAAACCTGGTTTTATAAACCTCACATTTGTATGACGATCGCATAAATTTCCATTATATTGACAACAATGTGTGAACAAAAAAATCAGACATAATAGGTAAAAATGTAAAAAATAAGGGCACAGCAGTCAACATTGTGTTATAGTGTTAATCATTATCAAAACAAACAAATATGCCAACAAAGAATACAAAATGGCATATAAACATAGCACATAAGCAACAATTAAAGAAAAGAATACAAAAAATGACCATAGCAAAATAATACAATGGCGGTATGTATAAGTACCATTGTCCGCGACCTCACTTCATGGTTCATTGACTACTTGATTTTTTGTAATGTTAATTTCTCTCTTATTATGAGTAATAGAAAAACTATATATGGTATGTGCGTACCTTGCAAGGTCCTAAAGCCAGTCAAACAGTTTGCACTTGACCTCGACCTCATTTAATGGATCAGTGAACTAGTTTAAGTTTTCGTGGTCAGGTCCATATCTTAGATACTATGAGCAATATTATAACGCTGCTTCCCTGGTGTTAGAGTCGGCCACCAGAGATCACAGGTTACATAGAAAAGGGATTTCTTAACTGGTATGATTTATTACTGCAAAATTTAGGGCCGACGTCTAATTGGAATACCGTCGAACCAACCCACTTTACAGCTTCGTTTAACCTATGTTCTACAGGTCTATCTATTGTATATATGATTGAGAAATAAAAGAAATAGCATATATAACAGTTTTGATTATTTATTTGACAATTATAAACGCGGATAATCTGGCTGGACAGGCTCTGTCATTGGTCCCAGGTTATGGTTGGTCTATCTTATTTAATCTATATATATATATTAATCATATATACAACAATCCAGAGTCACCACTCTGTTAACTACAACTACTTTCCAAACTACTGAGGTAGCGTATAGCTCGAACAGGCTTACAAAGGTGCTTCAATAAAAGAACACTTGTAAAAGTATGTAGCCTTAAATCAACAACATCTTTTTCAAATAACTACTTAAAATATTGGTACAATTTACACCCTAATTGGCACCAAGTATTTACACCCAAATAAGTCACGGACTATTTACTGTACACCTAGAAAATTCACCGACCATTTGCACCTAGCAAAGTCACCGACCATTTGCACCTAGCAAAGTCACCCAACCAGTTGCACCTAGCGAAGTCACCGACTATATACACATTGAAAAAAATCACCCAACAGTTTGCAACTAGAAAGTCGCCGACTATTTCAAGTTTGGCGCTTCATAACTTTCATTTTCAAACCACAAACAATCACTGCTCTCCATAGTTGATCATTTCAGTTTTATTTGGCTGTCAGCCAATCACAGACGCTTTTACATGTGTTGGGCCAATCAGCAGCCATCTCTCTGTTTAGGAAAATTCCCGAAATGGCAAATCAAAATGTAAACATTGGAAGTTTTATGTAAATAAAGATGTTTTCCAGCTTAATATCAATAAGAACCAACATATTTATTCATCGTGAAAGTTATTACACATACAGGATAACTTAGGAACACATGTAAACAGTTTAATATCTCAAATAAAACAACAGAAATAAAGGTACTGGCACTCCGGGATCAAACTTGCAAATTTGTCACCGCGAGTAAATTCCAATCATAACATCATTTTAAACACAATAGAATTAAATCTTGATAATCAATATTAGTACAATCAGCATATTAAATATACTCATTTGCATAGCATATCATCTCACAGACATCTCCGTATTATTTTTTGTACTTAATAACAATGCATATTCAAAAAGAGGGGTGGACGGCATTACAATATGTCTACTATATTTGGTGTATGTAATGCTTGTAAGGTGTACATGTCCAACTGGCATGTGTCATTTGACCTTGACCTCAGTTTCATAGTTCTTTGGACAATGTTCAGTTTTTGTAGTTTGTTCTATTTCTCAGATTTTATAAGCAATATGTCAATTATATTTGGTGTAGGGAACGATTGTAGGGATATACATGTCTGTCTGGCAGGGTTCATATGACCTTGACCTAATTTTCATGGTCATTTGTAAATGATAATGTTGTTATTGGTTTTGGTAGGCGGCTTACTTATGTAGTAATTGCGCCTTAAATGATAAGTTTTCGTTATTTCGTTATTTTGTCAGTTTATCAGATACTATACATAATAGATCACCTACATTTGGTGTATAGAATGATTGTAAGGTCAACCTGTCTGTCTGGCAGGGTTTATATGATAATAGCCTCATCTTTATCGTTCATTGGTCAATGTTAAGATTTTGTGGTGTGATCTGTTTCTCAGGTACTATTAGCGATAGGACCACTATATTTGGGGTATGGAATGATTATCAGGTGTACATGTCTGTCTGGCATGGTTCATCAGACCGTAATGTCTTTTTCATAGAACATTGATAATGTTAAATTTATGTGATACATGTGGTAAAACCTTCATATTACAGAATATCAACATGAAACCAAGGATAAGTAAAACCTGCTAGACATTTCAGCGTGTAAACTTTTTTTTTTTTTAAGTTTTGCATTTTGGCAGTTTCATGGTAATGATGGTCATTGTGACAATTCCAAGGTAATACTTCATATCTCCTCATTACGGTTATCGTTATTCAATCAAAAATATATGTAAAATAATAAGAAAAAGAAATAAAAACGAAACGACGGAGTAGCAATATGTCATCTGACGTTTAATTTAGGCGACAAAAAACTCTTCAAAGATACCAGAATTAATAACAATAAGTTCGCGGTTCTAACACAAAGTCGCCTAAACCGACACGAATAACCCAAGGACATCTAATAACATTCATATGACAAAAAAAAAAAAAAAAAATACAGGAAAAGGTACACGTGCCTTTGTGAAAAACAAGGAAGTGTTTTTGCTTTTAATCCAACTGTCCTGTGTGCACGAAGTTAAAACATGCCGGATAACAACAAAAAATTTGGATAATATATAAGGTTAGATATCAAAAGTACCTTATGAACACTAAGTCCTTCTTTAGGTAATGGCAGACTGTGATTTCATAAATTCTTTTCTTTTTCTGCCACAATTGTATTTCCCCCCTGAAAAAAAAATTAACTTGAGTTTTCCCTTGGCAATTTTAGTTGATACATTTATAGTTATTGGCCATTCACCATTATATGTTAACTTATTAAAAAGTGACGGGAAAATTGTTTATAAAAAACGAAGGAGGGAAATCCAGTCAACAAGTACTTATTGTCTATTTACTCTTATAATTGTGTATTCTGTAGACTAATCGATAACAATTTCGTTCTAAATTCTCTTTTATGGGGTCTGTGTTCAAAGGGGTTGGCACCAAATTATATCGATGAAGTTTGATTTCTGTGCACAAACTTTTATATTATCATTCAAAATTCTATAATAATCGTAGATTTTGAGCGGTCTCACTAAACAAACATATAATAAAGTTAATTAAGTGGTGCTTGATTTAAAAAAAGTAGGCCAATACAAACCTCTCAAAAGTGTGCGTTGTTTAGTGCGCCTTTCATGTTTATTGAAGCTGTTAAATAAATTACATAACTTGAAGTGTTTACAAAAAATGAAAATCAACTTATTGATACTATTATGAATTTTAAGTATAATGCATCTCAATATTGCTCGTGAACTGGTGCACTACACCATTAAACTGTTTTGCAACTGATAAAACAGTTTTGCAGCTAGAATGTGAAAAACACAGATATTGCGAAAGAATTGATTATCTGCAATTTTAAACACTGAAGGTATGCATCACATACATTTATATACCATTGATTGGTACCATAGATACTGATTCAATAATCCTTTACAATGACAACAGACAAAGAAGCTTTTGTAACAGATAAACTGATGTCTAATCAGTGTTTCTGTTGTTTCGTTGTTTTTCTCTAATAGTTTTTATAGTTTATGTGTTTCCTTCGGTTTTAGTTTGTAAACCGGATTTGCTTTTTCTCAATCGATTTATGACTTTTGAACAGCGGTATACTACTGTTGCCTTTATCTGTGACATTGTGGCAACATCGCCTACACCGTGTCTAGCCTTAGTCCACTCGACCACCAAGACTACATAATAGTAAAGCTTTCGGTGGTCGATGTTATGCCTTTCCTCGTCGGCTTTATCTAGGGTTGTAACACAATACATGATGTATAGTGGCAAGTAAATTGTGTAGCTTCCAGATCAGCTATTTTGTCTGTCCTAAAGGATGATAATGTTAATTACCATGCCACCACATAAAATTCTAATTTTATTATAAACATCTAAACAAGTGACAACTTTATGACAGGCATTCCCTATCGGATAAGACGTGGTTATTTAGGACTAACACCATAATATATGTATAATTCGACATAGATTTTGCCCAACAATGTTAAATCCTCAAATTTGCTAACCCACATTTGAAGATCTAACATTGTTAGGCTAAATTTGAGACGAATTATATATAGATATGTGTGTGACTGTTTTCGAAAAAAGGAAGATCTTAATAGATAAGTCTCCTCGATTTTATTTTACATTCTCGCAAGGCTGTATTGTTACTTTCTGTCCTGTGACATTTTGCCCTACAATCAATTACTTTTAGTCATGAAAACATTAATGTGTTTAACTCAATTTAAGACTTTTAAATGTTCTCCATGTTTCTCTAATAAATCGACATTTTTTATGAACACACGATGAACAATGATTATAAAAATAAAACATATGAGCCATAAGAATGTAAGAGTAAAGATCCTTCAAACTTTCCATTTCTTGCATTAAAAAGATTTCCATCATGCTGTTTTATATTCAGGAATAAATTTTTAACGGTCTTTAAATTTTTGTTTGTTCTGGGATGTTGTTTTGTCAACATTTATCACGTGACAGTTTGTGTAGTAACTAACGTTTGGTAGCTGTTAATCATATAATAAATAATGCTCTAACTATATTAAACATGTTAAAGGTAATGCTTTGGTAATTTAGTCTCATGTAATTCTTTTTATCAGTAAAAATCAAACCTTCTCAAGAAAAATGTATGATTTATAAATGTTGTAATAACTGATATTGCAATTTTATATTTTACTAAAGTATGCAATATATTTACCCCTATGAACTAAACATGCAAAATGAGTATTTTTTTTCATATCAATAGTTAATATAATTAATTTTTTATAACCACAATAATGCCAAAGTGATAAAGTTAAATTAATTTCCCCAATCAACCAGTGTTTTACTTAATTGACAGTTAAGTCTGTCAAAAGAACCATGAAAATTTCAATCGATTATTATTTGCCAGTTTTGACCACCCAATGAGTATTGACACGGTGGGTAAGGATGTCCTGCAAGAGAACGTTCTGTGCTGGTGATTTGGTCCTGACTGGTGCTGGTGGGTCCTGATTCTGTGCTGGTGGGTTTGTTTACATTGCATTAGAACGACTATAAAACAAAACCATTCTTTTGTTTAATTTTTCAGTAACACGTTAAACGTACCTCGAGAGGTATGATACAACGTTTTTTTATGCAAAAGTCGTGCAAATTGGCAAAACGAAATTGTCCTGGTGATGTGCTGGTAATTAGAAAAAATGTCCTGGTTCTATGCACCTATGTCCTGGTTGTGTGCTCTTTATGTTGGAAGAAAAAGTGGTAAATATTCAAGATCATTAAGGCAGAAAATGTGTGTTATTAATAGAATAGACACCTAGCGTACATTTGGGGGTTGGGAGATGGGGGGGGGGGGGGGGGGGGGGGGGGGGGGGGCGT